TGGACCTCACGAGCCTCAGCGGTCTCGACCATCAAGGCGACCATTGATCGCCACTTGTTGCTGACGAGGTGGTGGTGAACCATACCAGAGGCCAACAAAGCAGACACAGCAATACGATCGGCAGAGGTTCCTCGGTCAGACAAGACGATGACACGGTCACGCGCCTCGATAGCCGCTGTAGCCTCCTTGCAGATCTCATCCAGATGCTTCAAGTAACCTTGGACTCCTTCGGACTTGGGGTAAGTCAAGTCAATTGTCTTGACGGTCCATTCAGGGTGGATGGATGACATGTTCTTGATGGCATTGAACTCGGGGATAGACAGAATGGGGCTAGGAAGGAGAAGGCGACCACACTGAGAAGAATCCATCTCCAACAGGTTACCCTGAGGTCCAACGTAGCACTCCAATGACATGACAATAGATTCTCTGATAGGGTCAATGGGCGGGTTGGTAACCTGAGCAAAGAGCTGTCGGAAGTATTCGTAGAGGAGACGTGGGGATTCGGTCAAGCATGCCAGAGGAGCGTCATTACCCATGGAACCAAGGGCCTCCTTCTCATCGGCAGCCATAGGGGCAAGAAGCAAGCTGACCTGCTCGTGGGTGTAGCCAAAAGAGAGCATCAGCGGGTCTTCCTGGAAGCGAGAAGCATCGGGCTTGGGGGCCAGATCAATCTTGGCCTCCAGGGTCTCCAAAACCTTGGGCATGGTGATCAATTCGCTGTCGAGCCATGAGCGGAAGTCGTGTCTGTTTGAAACGGCAGCCTTGAGCTCTGCATCGTCGATGATTCGTCCAGCCTGTGTGTCAACCAACAGCATTTTACCGGGCTGCAGTCTTCCCTTCTGGACCACAGACTCAGGCTCAACGGGAATGGTACCGACTTCAGAGGCGCAAATGATTCGATCGTCGTCCATGACATAGAATCGGCAAGGTCGCAGACCGTTTCGGTCCAGGTTGGCACCGCAGTAGCGGCCATCGGCAAAAGTAAAGAGGGCGGGACCATCCCAGGGCTCCATTTGGCAAGCAGCCCATTCGTAGAATGCAGCCTTCTTGGGGTCCATTGTGTCATTGCCCTGCCAAGCTTCGGGCACCATGAGCATGACTGCTTCAGGAAGAGAGAGCACGCCATTAATGGTGAGCAGCTCAAGGACGTTGTCAAAGGCAGCGGAATCGGATCCACCATCCTCAACAATGGGGTACATCATCTCCAGCTCCTCCTTGAAGATATCAGAGTGCATAACACCTTCACGGGCGCGCATCCAGTTCTTGTTGCCTCGCAGGGTGTTGATTTCACCGTTGTGGGCAGCCCATCGCAGCGGCTGGGCACGATCCCATGAAGGGAACGTGTTTGTGGAGAAACGCGAGTGAACAAGAGCGAAATGAGCCTCGTAATCAGCATTGACCAGATCATGGTAGTATGAGTACACCTGCACAGGGGCGAGCTGTCCCTTGTAAACGATGTTCTTGTTTGATAGAGAGCACAGATAGAACCAGTTGTGAAGGCCAATGGTGTGAGTAGCGCGTTTTCGAAGCACATAGAGCTGTCGCTCAAAGTGTCGCTCGTTGAACTGGGCAGGGTCGGTGACCTCTGGGGCATTGCCAGTGCCGTATGCGGAAGCAAGGACAACGAAAGGTTGGGCAATGATGGGCTCACGGGATTTGGCCGCGGGACCAAGCAAGCTGGAGTCCACAGGAGGCCGTCGCCATCCCAAAACCCGCAAACCCAACGATTCAGCAACATCTTCCAGTTGCCTCTTGGACTCTTCAAAAGTCTCTTCGTCGGGCTTGAAGAACAGGTTTCCTACAGCATACTGACCCAGAGGAGGCAGTTTAATGTTCTCCTCTCTCTCGAAGTTCTTGATAAAGAACTTGTGTGGGATGGATGTCATAACACCAGCGCCGTCACCATCTCGGGCGTCGGATCCCACAGCACCACGATGGGTCATGTTGCACAGTAGGTTCCGTGCATCACTGACAATCTTGTGGCTAGGCTTGCCCTTGATATGGCTGGAATTGAGTCAGTATCGCCGCATTATCCGTCGTATAACAAGCGCCATGGTGCGAGAGCAACTTACCAAGCAAAGCCTACACCACAAGCATCCTTTTCGTAAGAAGGGTCATAGAGACCCTGCTTCACGGGCAGGGCACCAGCCCATGAGTCATTGTTGTCCGCCTGATACTCATACGGATGGTATTCCTCTTTTTCAGCGTCTAGATGAATTTGTCGGTCGTCGAAATCCTCGAGATAGCCCATGCTAGGCGAGGATCCGTTGATTATTGCTGGTCTGGTACGATTGAGCGGAGAGTCCGTAGGCAGAAGCGTAGCAGTTGGCAGAAGCTATGCCCGCGGCTTTGTCGAATCGTAGCTGTAGTGACGACAGAAGATTATATCTGCGCTCAGCACAGACCTATCAACAAGGAATTCAGTCAATGTCGATCCGCACAAGCTGATGAAGAAAGGGACGGAAAGATGACCATGCAACGGAAAAAAGAAAAATGGCATGTGCGTGCGGGGAAATAAGAAAACATCAGACGGGTTGGATTCTAACGCAGCGACAGACTCTCTCCGCCGCTGCCGAACTGTCATCACTCGATGAGCTGCAGCCAAAAAGGAAGCCTGTCGCACGAGACAGAGCTGCAAACGCTGAGGCGAGAGCCGGTAACAGCGGGTGGGGGCCCTAGCTGGACGCTGCAGGGGGGGCTTGTCTCACTGTGACTTAGCACTCGCAGCCCTAAGCCCCAGCGGACGACCCTCCGTTGCCAATTCCAATTTTTAAGCGTTTGCGCGCCCAACAGCATGTGAGACGATGACGCTCGAGTCGGGAATTTCCCCCACGATGCCCCTCATGCCCACAAAAACAGGCCATTTGCGTCCGCTTGGCGCCCGTGTCTTTGGCCGGTCTAAGAGCCCTTGCACTCGACAGGATTCATTGCTGCAGGTGGCCGTCATCGGCAGAGAGGGGCGAATTGACGCAGCTGGTACCAATATTGGCTTTCCCTCTTCTTTTGTGCTTTGCGCATTAAAGAAAAAAGTATAGCATAATATTGCACCTCGCGGCATCATACAGAGCATAGAATTGCCAGAGCCAGACTCAGCTGTGAGAGAGATTCAAGCGCGGCGATAGGACATGGACGAGCGTAACAAGACGTGGTACCAGAGTGTCTGCCGGTTCCAGTTGCCTCAAATCATCCAAACACCTATTCCATGACTTTTTCTCATCCCTTCGGAAGTCGTGGCCCTCGATCTCAATTGAGTTCAAGCAGCGCCTATCATCGTTGGAGGTGGCAAGTTGGTTATAAGCTATCCGCGGAAGCCGCCAGAATCCTGATAACCTCGGCGACTTTTCGATTCCCCCATCTCGAAAATAGAGTTGGCACCAGCAGACACATGAATCCCGTGTGTTTCGGGGCTCTCGACACGCACTTGCTTTTGGGGTAAGGAGGCTAAGGAGCGGAAATTGGGGCAGGTCGAAATCATTTTGCGGGAGAGGGGGAGCGAGAACTGTCGGCGTTGAATGACTTACAGGCTTATGATGTTCGTTTGGTATCAATGAGGCGCTTTGCGCTCTGGTATATGAACAAGAAGCCACGAATGGGAATAGCGAGAGAGAGAGTAGAGGTGACAGAGGGAGAAAAGGAAAAGCAGAACCGGAAGGGGGAGGGAGGGCAGAGGACAGCTTTTATTATAGAGATGGAGGTGTCCGTCCGTCCGTCTCCAGTTCCCCGGCGTGCCCCCATTAATGAGCATCTCTTCAAGCGCGTGTCTCTGCCAAGCCATGGATCTCTCAAGAAAGTGGTCCGAGCAGAATGTCGGCCACGAAAAGAAAAAAATGTCCACCGGCTTGCAACTTACCAGGATACTGCTCTAAAGTTGCAACCGACAGTGGGGGGCGTTGAGCATGGCGCAACACCAAACGCCTAAAATGCGGCGTTATGACTGGTGCAGCGCCTCCAGGCTAGAGACGAACTCCCAGGAATTTCCTGCGGACCGATCTGCCCCCTCCGTTGATGGCCCCAGAAGCACATGTCAGAAAACACCGCAAGCTCCGGGGGGTGTGCCAAAGGCAATTTCCGTATATGTTTCGTCGAATCTCAACTTGCAAAGTATGGGGACGCGGGATGGGGGGTTTCATTCGTCGTACATGTGCGGCGCCGATGCGCGGAGGCAATGCCCTGCAATTCTGGCCTCGCTGATGTCAGTCAAGCTGTCTGAATAGGAAGACGCCGCACTAGCCTCGGGGTCCTGACATGGGCGCTGCCTGGATGAGGCCTTACCTGTCGTACTAAAGCAGTAGTGCAAAGCGCACGCATGGTGGTTTGTACGGCCTTCGCATGCTTGTATTGCCGTGTTGGTTTACGAGGCACGCATCTGATGGATCTCCGGCTGGGCACGTCATCCCTCCCACCTCTGCGAGAGGGAAATGGCCCTCGGCTGTGACAGCGAGCCAATTGCTCAGCAACTGTTTCGCTTCTCGGACCCGGTCCTCTCCGACCAAGACGTGTAGTCGGGATTAGATGAAGCTCTCACGGACCTCTTTCAGGAGCGCTGTACGTAATTGGCCTCAGGCACCATCGCTGACATATCCAGACTTTCCCAATCGGGCTATCGATTACCCTCAAAAACAATATTATTACCCCCAGAAAACCTTCCCATTACCCCCAGGAAACTCGCAGCTCTATTCGCATTACCCTCATATTACCTGCAAGAAACTGAAAATTTTCGCGCAGCGGAGCGCATGGCGTTGAGGACAACATGTCCGCATGGATAGCAATTTCCGTCAGTCTCTAGTCGGCAATGGCTGCGAGCAACAATTCAGCTACGCCAAGTACGAGTAGCTTTCCAATTCCGTCGCTTCTTCTTGCAACCGCCGACCATGTCCACCTCATGCAGCGGCCCCTCCTTTATTTTCGCCTCATCGCCTGCTGTCACAGTAATATGCTACGACTAATTCCCAGCCCTCTGGTTGGCTCCAGGAGGCTGACGCTCATCTCAGCCTATCTCGATGACTAGAGACGGGCTTATCCAGTCGTCGAGAGAAATTCGGTTTGCAACACGCTTTGTGTAAGAGAAATCTGGGAGCTAATAATGCCCGAATGCGGCAGGGTATCCCTCCAAACCCCACAGCATCTCTGTTATTGTGCAGGGATTATCCTTACACGCCAGGTAGGCCCTGCGACCGATGCACACGAGGATCTGTGGCTGACGGCTTGGAGCTTAGCATAGCTGCCAATCATGGCCGGCCATTTCTAAAGCCTAACCCCTGCGTGGCCGATGTCGCGCTCAAGCTTCAACGCCAGCGAGGCATGCTCTTGATGGACGGGGACCCTAAAAAGCCACCAAGCCGTTTGGCGTCTGGAGAGCCGGCGCCCAAGCTGGCAGAGGAATCGAGTTCAGCACCGTTTCGATTTATCCAAACAGCGCCATTGAGAGACTACCGTAACAACGGCATGTTGAGATACGGCGTCCACCATCTCGGAGGCACGGCAGCCCTCCAGACCTGGCGCATGTGCGAGCGAGCCTGCGTTACTTGTCGTCGTCATAGCCACACGTGCCGCAGCCATTCACTGGCGCTCGACATGCCTAAACAGAAAGGTCGGTTGCAGTTTCCAGCTGCAAGATGGACAGATGAGGATGCAGAACCGGGGCTGGGCATGCGTGGACGATGCAGACAGCAGCCGGGGGTGCTGGGCCGCAGATTGCTTGTATGGATTTTGCCCGCGCCAGCGGCGCCATGCCTGTATTCAAGACGAAAAGACCAAATGGGCGAGCACCCATCTCGAACAAGACTTGTCTAGGAAACCTCATCAGCCAATAACACACAAGGCCCCGACACCCGCAGCATGCACGGAGAGGAGAGAGACACGATTCTGGCAACCCTTACTTTTGCGATGCACCCCCCATTTGGCTCGTTACAGTACAATATTGCCTGTTTATAAGGGACACAACGTATCCGTACCTCATCGGCCCATCTGCGCGTGGTGGTACTTCGGCGGTGCTCACTCAAAAAATGGACATCATAAAACTGGCGCCTGCAGCCAATCAGCATCCCGGCCACTGGCTTGTCGTCCTTATCTCAGGCCAACCAAGATTGCCGGCCCGTCGCCCGAACCTTTAACGCTATTGATAGCGGCAGTAATAGCCTGAGGCTACTTGTCGCTGATACGAGCCATCTCGCCACAAAATAAGATGGCCTTGTTTTGAGACACGTCCACTTCCTGAGGGTCCTCCATGGTTGCACTCACTCAAGGCAAGGTGACATCCAAAATGAGGTGATGGCCCTGCTACTTGTGCGTACAGGTACCCCAGAGGGTGCTACCAGCTTTGGCCCTACAGAGTTGACATAGAAGTTATAACTTGATCAAAAGGTTTTAATACGACTTCTCCAGCCCCAAATAAAGACAGTGCACGGGTATGTTGAAGAAACAGATGAACTAACAGCCTTGGGGCGTGCCATCTTTTCTCCGCTATGGCTGCCTACCGGCTCAAGCAAATGGGCCATTTCCAACTGAGGCCAATATTTGAATGTTTGTCATTCGTAACGTCCTAACTGAACCACGCCAAAATCCACTCTTTACATGCGTTATGCTTCATTGTCAGGATAAAATGCAACGGCGCCTATTCCTTCCGCCGTCGACTCCTAATTAACCAGGGCCTATTTTCCCGAGCCAGATGGCGGGGCTGGGGGGGTGTGTGGCGTGGTCCTTGTTCCAGATCACTGGTGAAATGCATCACAGATTGGTGAGGGCCCTCATAGAATCTTATAAATACCAACGCGGAGCAGCTTCTCGGCAACGGCAGCACTGCGTGAGACGGAGCATCGAGAAGTCAGCTACAGTATTGCACAAATATGATGACTCGACCGAAGTCGGTCTTCCTGCTGCTGGCTAGAACGACTCAAAGCTATTGAACCCTGTCATCAGCTCTTCAACCCTTACAGCTGACTTGGAAATCTGCAGGCCACTTACCGTACAGCCGTTTACGGAGTACAAGCGTGAAGCTCTACGGAGAGGATGACATTCTACCTGAATACGCTGACAAAGGGGAGTTTAGAGAACCGGCCGGTATTAGGGCATCTTCATTTTCGGACGGATTATTACTCGGCTTTTACTACACTATGACCATTTAGTACACCAATTTCTTTGGTTTGGATTATGCCGACGACGTTGCAAGTGAATTTCCGATGGTTACAGCTAGGGCGCGGTTCAATATACTCTTGCTCACCGAAGACGGAGCATGAGTGCTACCCCCCCATGTTGCAGCTTTCCACCAAGGAAAACAAGGATGGGGGTACGTTGGCCATTCCGAAAACTCCCGATATCCACCCTGAGTCTTGTCGCTATGTCTTTCAAGCGGCCAAGAAGAACGAATGCACAAAAGACCGTAAATGGCTTTTTATTGTTTTGTGCCGCATCGTTCGATTGACATCTGAGTCATCCCAGAAAGTCGCCGATGGATTTTATTTCATTTTTACTTTTGCATTTTTATATTTTTTTTACTATTTTTGGGCTAAGCGGCCACAATACCCTGAATGGCTTGAGGTGGCTGCCAATAGTGGCCAAGGCAGCAGGTGAAGAGCTGCACGAAGCCTCTAGAGTGGCGATTACGGCCTTCATTTCCAGTAGCCTTCGTAAACGATCCGTCAACATGTGTTGATTCTCTATAGAGAAGAAACACGGGGCATTTTGTGCGTAATTATGTGCTTGTAGTGATTTCAAGCTTTGTCTTTGTAATAGGCTTTAAGTTCATCGCAATAGGCTGGTCGCTGACGTGCGCGTCTAAGTGACTAGACGCTATAAGCGCCAAGCGGGTCGTGGACCAATAAACAGCCCCCAACCGTGTTATCAACAAATACCTACCCACACCTCTTAGAGACCTCTTCATCATCACAAGCTTTGCCATTGACAGTATCAGGACATGCGCTGTCATGCTCTCCAATGTTTGCGACACTCCCAGATTTTTCGCCGCGAGATGTAAGAATATCTCTAGTTACTTACCAAGTCCGAATATCATCAGCTGACTCGTGGTTTAGTCACATTCTCTGTGGTACTCATCCTCTAGGAATCCCTTCATACCCCCAGGGCCGGTCGACAACCTACACGCGGATCCGAATAGCAGTCACCATGGACCGACGCATTCGCGCCAGCGCGGTCAGTTGCTGGAGCGAACGTTGCTCGCGCGTCTTGCTGCGGATGAACAGAAAATGCACCGACGCCGAATAAATGTACAGAACTTTGGCAGCACTTGGCTAAAACCTCCCGGGGTGCCAAAGACTCTACACCAGATGCGGGAGGAGAAGCGTGAACAGGAAGAGCATCAGGAAGCTATGCGCAGAGAGCAGCTTGCTCAGGAACTGGCAGAAGCAGAGGGTGGCGGCACGATGGACGACGGCATGATGGACGACGTGCAGCTTGATGGGGCGCAAGATTTGGATGATGAAATTCCAGACGCAGACGACGCCTTTGACCCGAGCAGCGACGATAGCGAAGAAGACGAAAACGAAGAGGAAGAAAATGATAATGAAGGGGATGAAGATGACGAAGAAGCAGTAAGAGAAGAGGAGGCAGATGAAGAGGCTCTACGAGAGGAACGGCAGCATGGCCTGGTGGCGGCGCGGATGAGGATGACGGACGACGCGTTCCGAGAAGCCCTTATCCGTGGGGACCCAGAAGCGGATGGCAGCGTGTACGGCGACGAGGAAGACTTGGAAGACGAAGATCGAGAACAAATACTCGACGAGGACGACTTTGCCTACGATGGCAACCTAGACGATGGAACGGCAGGCGACATGGATGCTGATCTCGATGATGACATCCCGGAGGCTGAGGACGGCTACGAGCATACCGACTCCGAGGCCGACGTCAGCAGCAGCGCCCAAGGCGAAGAGCAAGAAGACGATGAGGGCGTGGACGTGGACGAGGACGAAGAGGGGGAGGGCGACACCACCGACACACACGACCTCAGCTTCATGCCGTCGCGCGCTACACCCCTCGCAGCCCCTCAGTCCCCCACGTTGCCTCGGCATACGAGCTTCCAGACTGGCCCCCGCGCAAGCATGGATCTGAGTGGGTTGCTGTCGCAGGACGAGAGCAGCTTGTTGATGATGATGGAGAGTAGTCCTGCGTTGATGAGGAGGAGGCCGGGCCAGCGGAAGTAGATGTTGTGTGGTGTTGTGTGGCAAGGAAATATAGCTTAGATACCCCCAGTTTTTATAGAGCTCTTTTGAGGAAGGAATAGATGAAACAGCAGCCAGAATATGCATGCTGGTGGTGTGATGTCTGCTATCACATAAAGGGAATGCAAGACGGTGGAAGTAGTATAGTAATTAATAAACGACAAATCGAAATGTGAAGAAGAATAACAGCCAGTAGTAAGCCTAGTAATGATATTAAAAACAGTTATATAAATAAATAGCCTTAGCCTGTATCAAGAGCAAAAAAAAACAAACCACTCGCTTTTATTTCACAGAAAAGACAAGCTCCCCCCCCCCCCTTTTTCAACCCACAGCTTGCATGCAGCTCATGTATCCATTTGGTGAAAAACGAGGATAACTGAGGAACAACAAACAAACAAACACCCAAAACGCCAGCCCAAGATGCATCTTGTACATTTTTTTGCCGAGAGAGAAGAAGCGAAAGCACGTATGGCATCCGCCGTAGCCACCAGTCAAGAATCATCGGTCGTTATAAAGAGAGAGAGAGAGAGAGAAAGCTCGGAGAAGTCCGAGAAAGGGCGGATGATGAAGGGAATATACATCGTAGCGAATAGAAAGAAATGATCAACATCATTCTATCGTATCTCCTCGTAAAGGGGCAAAAAGCAGAAGGAGGATAAGAAAATATGGCGACGGCCCTAAAACAGCCAGACGTAGATGAAGAGCATGGCGACGGCAAAGAAGAAGAGCAGCCACCACTTCCAGCTGACGCCGCTGCGCTGGGCCATAATGAGCATGCGGTTCATGGTGCCTCGGAGGCGCACGCGCGTCGAGTCAAAGGTGTCATTCATCTTCTCGGCGAGGGCGGAGGATTCGCGGATTTCGTCGCCGATGGCAGATGTCATCTGTATTGTGCGCGCTTTGGGTCAGCCAATGTCTTGTTGTATTCTTCCATGGAGTGTCTAGTGTCTCCTATTTGTCTCGCGCCTCTCTTTTTCAACGGAGTAGACGATATGCAAAGAACACGCGCCGACTTACGTCTTTGAGGATCTTGACTTTGCCCAGAATGCCCGCAACCTGATCGTCGTTCTGGCTCTCCAGCTCGTTCAGCACCGCGTCGCTGTACTGCCCCTTCTTGTTGGGCGTCGCAGTTCGGTACGCATGAGAGGGCGTTCCGGCGTCGCCGTAGCCATTCCCGTTTGAAGGAGAGTAGCCTCCGTAGCTGCTGTAGCCGTAGCCGCCCCCTACGCCGGCGTTGGGCGAGGGAGATGGACTGGGTCTTGCTCGCTGTGATTGATCGCCGCCCGTGTATCCTGCGAAGAGGACGCTGCGGGAGTCGCGCTGGTGAAGTGACGAGGATCCGAATCTGTACGTTCGATTGTAGAATGGTTAGCCATGTGCTCTGGTACCGTGGATTGCATCTCAGGACGACGGCGCGATTATAGAATCGTCGAGCGCGCGCATCTTCGAACGGGCTGGATCTTCGAATAGGGTAGGTTGAATCTCAAGAACATAGACGGACGACTCACCTTTGCGACATGATGATAATAGAATAAGCAAGAATCGCACAATGAAAACAAAGAAGCCGGCAAATTAAAAGGGGTGTTGTACGAAGAGAACGAAGAAGGCTTTTTTAACGTCGAGAAGAAAATGCCCCTTGAAGTCAGAATATTCGATACGACAGTTTTATGGCTTAGGTGGTCTTGACCAATATCTGTTAAGAGTGGCGTTAGTAACTTTTTTTGGAGGTTAGGGGTGGTACGTACCCAGCCATTGTGGCGGCTAAAGCCAACCAGCGCTTCTCGTGGCTTGTCTTTGCCGAATAATTTTTGCAAATTGTAGATTATCCGATAGATGAACCAAATGCCGATACAGAGTAGTGGTGAATTTCTATGAAGCACCCAATCTTGGCACATGACATATGATGGTAAACCCAAGTCTACAAGTATCCCAGCTGCGTCAGTCCCGGGTACGTGGGAGCCTAACAAAGCAAACGGTGAAGCTTAACCACTGGTGGGCCATTCACGCAGTGTGGGGAATGGCGGGACACAGCAAGGCTCCAAGACCACGATGCGGGCAGTACGGCCTCAAGGGCGGCGTGTGCAGTTTTCAACATCTCTGTTCTCCCCCAACACAGGGTGGCAAATAACGCCTAGCTAAATAGCAAACAGAGAGACTTTTCGTCGTTACATGACCATCGGCAAAGACACTCGGATCCCGCTCGATAGAAGCCCAACTCCCCTCCCCGTCACCCGAGCCTTTGATACCTTGGTGAACCCATAAACATTAACATCGTAGACTTGTCAGCCATCCAACAGCACCGGAAGCCAAAGGGGCGCATTTGCTTAACCATCCATCTCGGTGTCCTCATGGGCAGGCTGGAAGTCCTCGTCATCCTCATCCTCGTCGTCGTCCTCCATGGGGGTCTGCTCAGCGGCCCTGGCGTAGTCAATCTGGGCACCACGAGTGCGGCGTCCACCCTCGACAATGTTGTTCAGGTCAATTTCCTCCAGACCATCCTCATCTGCTTAACGTGGTTAGATGGCTCATAACTTTCAATGTGGGGGGAGCAGTAGCTGATGATGCAAATTTACCTGGTTCAGCAGTCTACCATGAACGAATTAGCTACCTGGCAGTGTATAAAGGCACGGTATGGAGGCGGATGGCCCATGAACTTACCTCCTCATCGTCATCATCTTCATCATCGTCGTCCTCATCGTCATCCTCATCCATGGCGGTGTCGTGGGGAACCTCGTCCTGAACCGCCTTTCCCTTGCCCTTGCTCTCAGCAAAGGACTCCTCAGTGTGAGGGTTGGTGACTCCGTCAGACATTTTGGGCGCAAGTAGGTCCGCGAAAAGTAATTTGTTAAGATGAAGGATTGGGAATTGACCAAGGGATGAGATGCTCTTGGGAAGAGTGAACGGTCAGTGTTTTGGTAAGGTATAAGTAGGGCGGGCGAGCTCGTGGTGGATCAGGTAGTGCTTCGAGCTCTTTTAAGATGGAGGCAACTCACCAATTGAAAGACGCAGGCTGGGCGCGCAACAATGGATCTAGTCCAATTGAGGACTAGCGCACATCGAGATTTGTGTCTACAAGTCACGTGGTTTCATCCCAGACAAGATCGGAGACCAGGGGCAGGCAATGAGGGAGATGGATGGAGAATAGCTGTGGGATGGATCAAGTATGATCCAGAATGCAATGCAATTATTGGACGGATTACGTAGATGGAGCAATGGGCAGGCAATGGTCTTGATTTAGGGTATTATGTATCAACAGAGAAGCATTGTAGTCAAGTAGTCAAGTATAGTAGGGATGAGAGAGCAAGGATCACAGAGCCAATTGCAACAGCTCAGCCCCTGCCAGTAACCATCCCATCATGGAAGCATTTTGTTCGGATTGATGTACGTGTAAATTGCTGGATCTATTTCTCGCCGCCGCCTCCTCCAGTTACTGCCATGAATACTACAATGGCAATCAGCCACCAGTATCTGCGTGTAGTTAGTACCATGAGCTATTCTGGATATGCAAGGCGCAACGTACTTCTGAAGGGGTGACTTCTCCTCTTCCTCAACTTTCTTCCCTTCAGCTGATAAAACAATCGGCTTGTTCAGCTCTGGCTGCTTGCCCTTGAGGACTGGCAGCACTATAGCCTGCGGCCCAAAATCTCTCGTCTGGCCCGCATCGATCCTTACGCCCTTGAGGGCAGCGCTCAGCAGCTCGCCCTTTTCATCGACTGACAGTACCAAATTGGGCGAGAAGCCCTTGCCAAAGTTGTCCACCGAGGCAACAGTTGTGCCAGATATCCACCGCGAAGACTTGGTGTCGTACAACCCCACGCGGACCAGCTGTGTAGACTCCGGGATTTCAGGAGCTTCGTAGGAGATGATGGAGGAAGATCCGCTGATGCTAGGATCGTATGCCACTTCGGCGAGGAGGCTGGGCGACTCGGAGTTTTCGACGGGCTGCACATAGATTTGCGCTGTGTGGAAATCGGCCTGGACAAGCGCTGCGGCACACAGGGCCGAGAGGAGGGCAATGACGCGCATGTTGCCCACACAAGGCTGAGCCGTAGCCTTTTGCGAAAGACGTGTAGATGAGCTGTTAAGGGCGGTGTTGCGCTCGGCTCAGGAACAGTTCAAGCAAGTGTCGTTACCTGGCCTTGATTGCGATAAGGCAACGCATCGGTGGAGCAACTACGACTCTACGAGTACATAGTACAAGGTACCTCCTGGTGCTAAGCTCTGTGGCGAGTACGGACTCTGGAGCGGTGGGTTTCGCTGGCACGTGCTGAGGCACCAACAATGGAGACGTCATACAAACAGGCACAGCATCTCAAATCAAAACATAGATTCCATCTGACTTACCACGAAGAGGCAAGGATGCATTTCATTTCTGTCATATTTTGTTTATATTCACTAGCTGCGAACAATGAAACAAGGCAAACTCATTTAGAAAAAAAAAAGGCAACCTTCTAATGGAAACCCCCTCCGTGGTCTTAGCTAAAATGGTGCGCCTGCAGAAACCTAGGCTTTTCAGGGCTGGTTGACAGCTTCATCGCCAGCTTGCCATCGAGATTTGCGCCAACATCCTGGCAGGACGCCAACGGGGCTGCCAACATCCCGTGTTTGCCGCCTTCTGAACCGGGGGTTCTGGTTTAAATACTGATCATGCGGCAATTGGGTCGCGGATTTCTTTCTCGTCATCCTGCCAAGTGGCTGCATGCGCACACCATCTCAGCTGGACTAGGCGGCTGTAGTTGATGGCGAAGATGGCTTAACCAAGGGCCAATAATACATGCCAAATGACGTGTCCCTATCACCAGCGCCGTCGCACCATGTGAGCGCGTTGATCTACTGGCTGTCAGTCGACGCCCCCAGGATTCATTCCAACCGTGCCCTGCAGATACGGAAGGTTGCCTCTTTTAAAGGCAGAATTGGACTGTCAACCATGCGACCCCGGGTAAGCCTGTTGGAAACAGAATTCCAGCTAAGCAGCGAAGATCAATGAATGATTTCTAACCGAACCGACATTTCTCACCGAAGTGGCACACCCTCCTCCCACAGCAGTACTGCCGCGGTGGTCCTTTGTCAAGCAAGCGTGTCCTTTTGAAAGGACCCCTTGCAAACCGAAATCTTCCGCTTGGCAGGGAGTTGCCTTGTGACCGGCAAGTGTCGGTCTCCGTTGGTTAATTTGATGCCAACGCGCAAAAAGGCCCTCTTTGGAGTAATTGATGTGAGCTCTCTAATCACTCAGTAAGTGACGCTACTGTTATGGCGTGGGATGAAATACCAAAATGGCAGTTTCCGTGCGAATTATCCAAGGCGAATATTCATTCTACTGATCTAGTGCATTTGTGTATGAAGATGTATTGCTATTGATGCTGCCAGAACCTACACACGAGTTCTTTTGGGAGCTGACTGAATGAAATTACAAGAACATGATTGACATATATCCAATATCCTGAACAAGAGAAAATGAGCAAAACAAAACCACAAAACTCCTTGAGAATACACCCATCATCGCTTTCGCTGCCAGCCTTTTCCGAGCCACAAACCTCAACCGCGTGGCGAGGTCGTCAAGTGCTCCAGTAGTCCAGGGCAAGGCACGCAGAAGCACACACGTCTATGACGGTTGGTAAAACGCGAAGAAAGACTGTGGCCGGGTCTTGAATGACCGCCGCCATAGGGATGAGAGTGATGAACGTGGTCGTCAAGGTCTGCGACAGATATTTGTCCCTCCACCTTGGCCTGCTGAAAAGGCGAAGCACACAGCTCCAGTGAATGAAAGTAGTCGCGGCTATTAACAACAAAAGCATCTCGCATGAGTACCGTCTATCCTGGAACCAAAGCAAGTGCGTCTCATTTCGCACCGCCTTGGTATTACATATCTATCGCAATCTCAGCGGTCAGAGCGCGCTCTGTGAATATTTGGGGTTGTTTATCCTACTGGATATAGCTTCCAACAGCCTTCATTCTCGGATCCTTTCCTGAATTGCTCTTGGATAATATTTAGAGTTGCCGTCAATCCCCAAGCCGCCAGGGTGTTGTATATGGAATGTCTGCTGCTGTCAAGGTCTGCCGCCTGCTGAGCTGCAGCGTAGATTTGTGACGCCTCGACGCTCTGGTCGTTCTTTGTGGCCGCTGGGTAAGAGGTTGCTGTGTCATGGCGTTCCAACATAGGCCTGAAAACGTATTCACGCGTATGGTTTATATTTCGAGGCTAATGATCATTCACTTAAAGATGACAGAAGGTAAGTAGATTGCGTGAAGATTAGGTAGCGTATATTGAATGTCGCGAAATAAGAAAGAATCACCTAACATGTGTCTTCCATAGTTGAGCCTCATTACGAAGCAAAAACAGGCAGAAGATTCTCTGGGGGCATCTCAGGAATACCCCTCATTTCCCTGGCAAAGGATCATCGGATCAAGCTAAGGGGAGTGAGGCAATCCCCTTGCCTCCAGCCCCCGCGCTATGTCTGGTTGCCTTACGCTATTTGAGACATTGCATCTTCGCCGCGCACGACACGGAGCCTATGCAGGCTTGATATTAAAGGTGTGCATCCAAACCCTTTGGTAGAAGAGGCTGGGGAGCTAAATCTGAGACGAACTCTTTAGGAAATCCGACTCCTTGCACGCCCCCTCCTCCTATCTCGCCGCCGTCGGGCCTTGTGTTGCCAACGGAAGCATCTAGGTTACGATACCTGACCCATTTGAAGTCTCTTGGCTATCAACCTCTTACCTTTCTTCCCTCCATTTACTAAACTGAACCTTATTCTCACCCTCAAAAGAGCGCTTCTCGCGTTTCCTCCCTCACCAGTCCACATCTCACTGATATTTTTTGTTTGATGTCTTCTCCCAGCCTCACATATAGCACTTCGTCCACCTAACTTGCATATTCCAGCCTATTATTTGTTTCAAAAAAGTGGCATAGTTTGCTTTGCCTTTGTGATCTCTCATCAACTTTCTCCCTTCCTGTAGCCCTGCTTCGTCTTTCTTGTTTCAATCTTCAAGTAGCATCTCATCCGGATATCTTGACCAATATCTGCGATGGTCTTTAAACAATGGTTATTGCAGATAAATGTTTCTCTCTCAGCATTGGTCCTCTTGCCGGGGAGCCAGCAAAGTCATTTTACTTGGGCTCCCGCGGCGACATTTGCGTAAGTCATCATCGCTTCATTGCGCTGACTATATCATCAATCTTCTTGTGCTTATACGCGGAATAGAATGCTGGCCGCTTGGGGCTTGACGGGAATTTCCCTCGCCTTTCTTCACAAGCGTTATTTTTTAGAGTAAGTCCATCTGCATAGATATATCCCTGCGGTGAGTGATGGAGGGCAGAAAGGCATTGTTTAATGCTCGTTTGTAGGAATCTTCAGCGGACGATACTCTATCCGCTGCAAGTGTGGCTGCCGTTTGTGATGGTGCTGCAGCCGTCGCTTGCGGATGCGATATTGCTTCTGCCGCTAGCCACAACAGCCGCCATGATATTCCTGGCAGCACAGAGGAGAGATCCAGCTCTCGACGATTTGCAGCTTCCCATTCCTGTTCCTGGACCGCGACGATTGCGGATGCGCCGAGCAATTTTGCTGCCGGCTCCGCAAAATCTTTGACAAAAGCTGACGCATTTTCGCATATTCCTTCCAAGGGCCCCGAGAAAGAAAAGAAAGAAAAGCAACACTGCGCGTCTGATGCCAACGCTGAAATGGCATTGCAGAAGACGAACCAAAGCCAAGCGCCGGCTCTATCTGACCTGGAGCGCTTAACCAACGAAGTCAAAGGAATATATGCTGGCCTTGTCATGGTAGAAACTAAATGTATAGAGGTTGACAACGCGCAAATCCCAGAGAAGGAGCTGATATTTGCGCCGAACAACAACAAAAGCAACAACAAAAACAACAACAGCAGCAGCAGCAGCAGCAGCAATATGCAAGCACTGATCGCTCTTCATAGTACGCTTCTTCATGAGCACCACGACTTTTTCCTAGCAAGCCAGCATCCTGCTGCAAGCCCCGCACTGCAGCGCCTGGCTGCTAAATATGCGATGCCAGCACGGATGTGGCGGCATGGCATTCACTCGTTTCTTGAGCTGCTTCGTCACAGCCTACCTGACTCTATGGAGCATATGCTTACTTTCATCTACATGGCTTATTCTATGATGGCTCCCCTCTATGAGACTGTTCCTGCGTCTGCGGATACTTGGATAGAGTGTCTTGGAGACCTGGGTCGGTATCGAATGGCCATTGAAGACGATGACATCTGGAATAGAGAAATCTGGACCACTGTCGCTCGACCCTGGTATTATAAGCCGCCGCCTATATTCTCTATGGCGGGACGCTTGTATCATCACCTTGCTATACTTGCGCGACCAAATCCCCTGCAGCAGCTATTTTATTATTTTTCGACCAGCAACCATCTCCGACCACCTTTTATCCAATTAATCAACTAGGGAATTTTCCCCGGATCCACGATTACTGTTGCTATTCGCTGCTCGTCGGATCGCACTCGCTTGAATCGTGGCCATCGTCCATCGCGGACACATGCTGTCGATGACACTTTTGTATCAACACATGGCTTCTTGTTCAACACACAGCCTCTCGACCGACTCTCCCCCAATTCCACAATCCACGATCACCCTTGATACGCGCCGCACCAGCAGCGCTGACGATGTGCATATTTCATAATGATGTCGAATCCATATGCCATGTGAGCTTATGGATACAAAATTTATGCCTAGATCGGTGGATCAAATAGCGTCATGATACACTCTTGGGCGACGAACCCCAAGTGCAGCTCACAGTTGACGTCTGAATCGCGCTGCATCCTTCGCTACAGCGCATAGCTCATCCACGTCGTATGCAGACGATTTGAAGATGCGAATATTCTGCCATACCTCCACGTTTACCTGGCTTTTATACGCACATTTTACATGTCACCAGGTTAATATTACATGGCCTGGTCTACCATACGTTCACGTCTCTCTGGCATTTACACATTCATCTCACAGCACGCGATCGGATTATTCCCTTTCAGACGATTGACTCTGAGCCCAAAATGCCCTTACCAGACCAACTCTATCAGCATCATCGAAGTTGATGTTGCAAGCGGAATCTCGACCGCTGCCGGAGGACTTTGCAATGCGAGGCCTGGTATCGACTCAGGACTATCTTCCTGCTGGCTGGTTTGATTATGGCGCCTTGATGACAATGAAAGGCTGTTCAAGCCCGATTCAAGTAGAAGCCTGCTAGAGAGCTGCCGCATAAACTGCGAACGCTCCCAGAGGATGTTACTGGGCGAGGTCATGTACCACATCAGGATTGTCTTGATACTGGTTGGCTTGATTGTGGCACCTCGATGGGAAAGAACAGATGCTGGAACTTGTTTCAACACCCGAAGGCCTGCTGGAGAGCGAGCCGCGAATTTGACCATGAGTCCTGCCTGTTCAAGCTTGCAGCATTACCCGAGACTGCTTTGGTGTGGGTTGGCCTCACTGTGGCATCTAATGGGAAATGAGCAGTTATCTAAGCCTGTTTCAACGCCCGAAGGCCTACCACAGAGTCGGTCACAAACTTGGCCATTGTGGTCCCCGGCTGGTCTGCAACGTCATGTATCAAACCTAGACGAAGTTCGATACTGGCTTGCTTGAGTATGGCACCTGGAGGACGGCGAACGGTTGTTCGAGTCGGCGTCAATGTTCAGAGGCCGGCAAGAGAGACTTTTACGGTTGGAATATCTACACCAACACATCCGCAGGCCTCTCCCCTCAAATTCCACCGTCGCAGTTACTGGTGACGGCACCCATCGTCGGCTTTTACTTTATTAAGTGCCTCGATCGTGCATCTTGCGCTTCTTTACCATCACATGGCGAGGTCACTGATTATCAGTGCGACACATCTTTCATACGAAGTGCACACTGGCGACTCGACACGTTTCCCCCGCAATACCAAGCCGCATCACTTACTCAACGACGTGGTTATTAACCCTCTATACCCCCATATTGCCCGACCTATGTTGACGAACCTCTTCATAAACACCCTCTTACCTAAATAATGGAATACGATAACTCGAAACTACAAACATTGCGGTTGTGTATTGTGGTACCTTCTCCTACTACGGCATCTCTGCGCAGAGATGTACATACAACACAAAGAAAAGAAACTTATTTTCTTTTGATTTTAGTTCATTTAACATTGCCCAAAGATCTCATTTGGAAGCGAACTTCTGTACCGACATAAGTGGCGTTTGGATTGATTTGATTTGACACATATTATATTGGATTGGGGACATACAGCTCGACGCCGTCCCTCACGAGTGGCCGGTCTTTTTCTCTCTTGTTAAGAAGATGTTCAAAAGTATATAAAAGATTTTGAATTTGTATATAGTCTTGCGTACATAATCTACTGAGTATTTCAAACTGTATTTAGTATTGAGCATGGATAGCGTGTTAATGATTTCGCCTGCTCCTTGACTTATCTTTAATGTTACTATGAGAGCAGACGTAGTATTAAACGTGATGACACTTTTCAGACTATATGCGAGAGGCGGCATCATAAACATCTGTAAACGCTGAGTTCCATTGGCGGATCACTCCAAGGCAAGCATTTCAGTGAATTTACTCGCCTAGTTCTGCGCTTCGGAGACCGAAGTGAAGCTCTCCTTTTCCCCCTCTCAGCGTACATCGACTCTAGCACTATTTCAAATGGAGTTCGTCTAGGATAGAAGTAATTTAATGCCCAGACGAAATATCTTTCGTGCTTCTCATTCGGCAACTTCAGTAACTTCAGTTAACACAAAGGGAGTCTTTAGAGCACTACTTATTTTATATACAGAGTAAAGAAGACTGAACGCCATGAAAAATTGCAAAATAAACAAAAAAGAATGACAAAAAACATATGAGAGTTAAAAATAAACACCTAAACCTACTGGTGTAAATTTTCTTCTAAGCTAAATTTCCCTCCTCTTCTCGGATGCCTGAATCGTTCGGCCCAGAGCAAAATGTTTGGTTCGACGCCGACGAGCACTCGGAATCGATATATCATGTATGTATTTTACGGAGACGCTTTTGCTGCCATATCCCTAGAGGTTATTCTGAAACCTCAGGTCCTTATGCGACCAGAGACTATAGAGAGGGTGGCGCAAATGTAAATATCTGTGACTATGGGTAGAAGACGAAGAAAAATAGTTGTAGGATCCCGAATGATTGTTGCTAGAGGAAGAAGGGTGATAAATGTGGCCATGATAATCCGAGGCAGGAATTGATTCTTCCATCGAGATTGGTTGAAAAGACTGAAAACAAGGCTCCAGTGTAGACAGGTCATGGTCGCTATCAAGAGAAGACATAGCTCGCACCAGGTTGGCTGTCCGAAGAACGAGGGTAGGCGTACAGAGTCATTTAAGGCCCAGGAATCGCAAATCTATGCTTCCATGCGTTAGAGATGCCGTTATTATAAGCGCATCCAAACAATGAGCCCACTAGTCTTACGGGGTATGGATATATTTTCCCACAGGATTCGTTTCTGGATTCCGTGCTCAATTGAGCAGTGGTAATATTCAGCGCAATTGTTAAACCAAATGCAGCCAGAGATTTTAATAGAGACATTTGGTCGTTCTCTGCCTCGACATCTTGTTGAGATGCTTCGTATGTCCATGGTGATTCCTCAAAGGCCCAGGCTTGAACGACGACGTCAGCTTTTCCCGCCTGCATTCAGGTAATTTTCGCATCAAATCTAGGTCTGTAGTCAGATAGAGAGGTTCGTGTGTCGCGTCTTATCAAAAAATTCTTAATACATCAAGTGTTTCAATATCAACAAACTCTTGAAAGCCAGATGTAGTCGTTCTATGGTGACTATGTAGTCGTTCTATAGAGACTTTGTTGGGCATCAATACAGCAATTAGGTCGCAATGATTTCAAGTTACCATAAAGGTTTATATATATATATATACCTGATCAGCCGCAAGAGCCGTGCTATTTCAACGCTATTGGGCACCCGTGCAGCTGATTGTTGACTGGGCTTCTGATTGGGCGATTGCCTTCTCACCGAACCGCCATCTGATCGCTTGAGAAACGATCAAAATCTCATGCAGGCTACAAGGCACACTTGAGGCAATTGACGGTGTACCCGAGAAGCATCCATGTGCTGTCGCCGTCTGATTGCTTGAGAAGCTCATGCAGCTAAAAATTGACAGCGCATGAAGAGGCCTCCGTGTGCCTATCTTGCCATCTGATTGCTTGAGGAAGTCAGAACAGCACAGCCTCGAAGCATCATTGCCTCTAGGATTGCGTAATGTAGATTGGGATTATTTTTCTTCGATTCTAGTTCCAAGACATAATAGCAAAGAATGCCCTCGGAATACGCGGGAGGTATGTCTGCAAGCGGCTGTGGTTTTGTGCCCTTGGCCCTTCGTTCCAAATCCGCAGCTTGGTGCCCAGACTGGGGGTATAGAGAGAGGCACCCCCCGCCACATCCCCTCCTTTGTATGCTTTTTTCTTCACCTGGATTGTCAATTGGAGGATTCCCATTCTTGGGATCGCGGGGTACCATCACGTAGTCTGCAACCTTGCCTTTTGCGCTCTCCGTACTCAGTTCCCTTCATGTTCCCTTCTTTCCCCCTTTCCTGTTTCTCGATAGCAAGATCTCTGGTCTTTCCTTCGCCAACTACTTTGAAGGAGCTCATACAGACGAATCCCATTTACATCTACTGCTCCCTGGACGACTCTATTGCCTTGAATCCGATACCTTGCCACCGATCCAGGTATTCCTTCCCCCGAGGATAACACAGCAATCTCGAAGTTCCCATTGCCTCTATCTCGATTGTATTTGCTGGACTGTCTCTCCTTGAATGAGGTAGTGGATGTCCCTCCGGCAAGGATGTGGGGTTGGCTATTGTATGCCAACATGTGTCTCTCGGTGCTGGTCCTCTTGCCAGGAAGCCAACAGCAGTTATTCTCATGGGTTCCAATGGTGACATTTGGGTGTGTAATTTCCTAAATTGTTTGTAACGCATTTCACTCATCTCGGGATAGAATCCTGCTCTCTTGGGGACTGACTGGCATTCCCCTCGTCCTCATCCACAGCCAGCACCTCTTGACGTAAGTCGGCCTCCCACCTAAAACCCCATTTTGATATTGCCAAGTGGTGGTAGTCGTTGACATGTTATCATGCCACACAGGAGCCCCCGGCAAACGATCTTGTATCCTTTGCAAATTTGGCTGGCCTTCGTGTTCGCGCTACAGTCGCCACTCGCAGAAGCCGTTCTACTTCTGCCACTATGCACCACAGCTGCGATGATCTATTTGACAACTAGTAATCAGGATCAGCAAACGCCAGTGCTCCCCCTCTACCAACCCCAGGACAACGATTAGAGGTTTAGACCTGATTGCTATCGGTATGGTCGAATGCCAACAGTCTTCATGTTCATTTGCTAACCGGCAATCCTAACTAGGCCCAACACTCCGTTTTATTGCCCCGAAACAATATGCTTGATGGATCAGACGAAAAGTACAGTAAAGCAATATAGCATTTCCGTGCCAACAGTCTCCATGTTCATTTGCTAACCGGCAATCCTAACTAGGCCTAACGCTCCGTTTTTATTGCCCCGAAACAATATGCTTGATGGGTCGGACGAAAAGTACAGTAAAGCAATGTAGCATTTCCGACCCCGAGCAGTTCGCTAGACATACATATAGAGGGATGCATACGCAAAGGGGTGCTAGATTTTTTCTTTATGACGATATACCTTGGGTAAGGTGCTAGGATAAGGAGTTTTTTTTTTCCCTTCTTTTCTTTTTTCTTTCCTTCTTCTTTCTTTTTTATGAGATGGTTCCCCAACGAGCTGTCAAAGCACTCGACCAGGTCAACCATTGCTCGGTGGGATATAATAGCCGTCGATGGAATGTCGGATTCAAGTTTCATCTTCAGCCTGAAGGCTCAGGTTTACGATTGTATATAGACATGTACATAGGTATATATGATAGTCAGTTTTAGATTTGAGTGGTCGACAGTACCTGTAGTATAGAGTGGCGGGTGGTTCTGTACCAAACGTGCGCGACCCATGATATCAGCTGACAAAGGATTGGGACCATGTATGACGTATGAGGATGACTTTTCTCCAGATGTAATCTCTTGGGAGCTATCTACCTAATAAATGTAGTGTAATGGGTGTATAGAATTCATGTGCTCTCACATCTAGCTTACGGAGTAATGATAATATAGGAGAGGCTGTATCAAACGTGAAGCCGTAGCAAGGTAAATTGGAAGCGCGTCTATACCAAGCATGCGGTAAGTAAATAGACAGATATTGAATCCAAATATACATGGGTGTCGATTTGAGATAACCTGCGAACTGTTTATCTACAACTGGATTGCAGATGCAGATATGGCGATGATGAAGATGGGCCCTCGTTCGTTTCAACCAACCAACCAATCATTTCATCAATAGGGCAGATGTAGTACCAGAGGTGAAGCGGAAATGGCAAGGTGCATACTATATAATTATTAAAAATGTGATGAAGCCAAGTTTTTGAGGCCATCTATGTGAGGTGGAAAAAATATTACTTGCAAACGCTTAGCTGCCTGGGCAGATCACTCAGAAATATAGGCGCCAGGAGTTTACACTGCCGTATTTTCCAAATTTTAAACGAATGTCTGGCGATTAGGTACCTACTTGACTACCTTGGATAAAGTAGAGACGCACTTTGTTGCTATGATAAGGAAAGACCAAATAATGATTAACGATATGGAGAATAATAACTCGCAGTTGCATTTTCAGTTGCACTTTACATCTTCAGTCTTAATCTCGTAGCACCACACCATCTTCCTTTCTTCCAACTCAACGATTCTACAGTCCGTCCTAGCCATGTTATAGTGAACCTCTCAAGTTAGGTCATGGTTGCAGGCTCTGACCAAGGATGCAACTGCTGGTAGTTAAACAAGGAGCAAATTATTCCAAGCCCAGACATACCCATTAATGCATTTCCAGCGCTTGTTCAAAGGCAACAAATCGCCCATTACCGCCCTGATTAGTTGCTAATTTGTATATTTGATGGCGATGAGAAAGATGAGAGCATAAAAGTCCAAGACTAGGGGAATAGTTTGCCAAAGAAAAGCGAATTCAGCCACTGGAGACTGAGCGATCCCCATCGCGAAAATAGTAATGAATGTTGCGAGTAGATATGCAAGCCCGTAACGACCCTGCCATCGAGGTTGATGGAGAAGCTTGCCTATGCATCGAAAGTAACTAGGACATAATAACGATCCCAGTACCCCGAATGCTATCCAATCGGGTATTTCATGCATGAATGGATATACTGGCACACGTATGTAATCGAGGTATGCTATCCAAGAAAATGAAGTTTGGGCTTGCTTAGTCATCTGAGCGCCGATAAAGTATAACGGAACTGTGAGTCCGAACGCAGTTGCAGTTATGCGCACAGATTCATCTGAGAGAGGTTGGCAATTGATGGCCTCAAAAATCCGCGGACCCAGCTCGTGACTCATGTTGGAGGCTCAATATCCCAAGTTTGAACAGGTTGTCTGTCACTCTCTGGTCCTTCCACGGCTAAACGTCTTTCACAAGCTGTAAATAAGCAAAAAGCTCTGGAGGAAGTGGTCTTTATGAGTATGCCTTTAATCGGCAGGCGTTGCGCTGTGAAGAGGTTGAGTTCTTGATATGCGAGTTTGACAACAAGGCTGTCGAGTTCTCTCAAGAAAGAAACACTCTGATGCAGAGGGAGGAGGCGCCATTCTTATGTGAGAATTAAGCCGTAGGTAAGGATAGGTTCACATGTGAGTTGGGGTACTCGAATAAAGAGATCGCCACCAAGAAGTCTTGTTGCATCACTAAGGTCAAATCGAAGCCCAACGACAAAGAAACGCAGCAACAAAGAAACAAAGAAATTCATGGGAAATTTTTTTAGAAATATGTGACCTAACGTGCTCAAACAAAGAGATCGCCGCCGAGAAGCCTTGTTGTGTCACCGAGGCCAAGTCGAGGCCCAACGACAAAGAAACAAAGAAACTCGACAACAAAGAAACTCGACAACAAAGAAACTCGACAACAAAGAAACTCGACAACAAAGAAACCCATGGAAAAAAAAAAAAAAAAAAAAAAAAAAAATCAAGGCATCCCGGAAATGCGCGTCGATTCGTGGCTTCGCTGTGTAACAATTTGCAGGCCTCTCAACTTCTTTATTACATGCTCAAGATGCCCATTCCATGCTCCCTACTCTTCCCCCTTTCACTTCCCCGAGAGAAAGAGAACAGATGCCAACAAGACGCACTGCTTCACTTAGAACAAATAACACGTTTGGTCGAGCCCTGGTTTCTCTCCATTGCCGACTCATAGAGTAGTATCCTCGAACGTCTACTTGTCACTTAGTCCATATCGGGCCAACACCCATCACATCTCTTTCAACCCAACAAAGCCGACCCGCGTACCTTTCCACCAAATAATTCTTGCTTTCGACCTCTATATCTTGTGGTATAACTTCTTTACTGGGTGATAATGTGGTATCGGCTTTGGTGTTTGAACTTTGTTGTTTCTTTCCTGATCCCCATCTCGGGGCTCATTGGAAATAACATCTCCTGGCTTCCAACGGTGACGATCGGGTGCGATTTCTTGCATCTTAACCTGCAATCTACCATACAATAAGCTGACTAGCCTCTGTATCAAGGATGATACTCTTTTGGACCCTCACAGGAGCTTTTCTGCTCTTCATCCCGTACAAGCATCTGCTAGAGTAAGCCACTCCCTTCTTCCAAATGCAGATGATTGTTAAAGGCTTCATCTAACTACTATTCAACAAATACTGTAGTAACCCTATTATTACGTTCCTTTGGTCTCTCCTAGTTTGGGAGATCGTCATGCGCGGGTTCCAATCACCACCACTTGCGGAAGCGATCTTCCTTCTTCCATTCTCTATTACTCTCAGCCTGACCTTCTTGCAATATATACATAGTATAATCGGAAAACAAAGACTCCAAAGCGGGGACACAGAAGCCCCGGCGAACCTCGGTGCAGGACCGCCCTCCAGCCCAAGCCCAAATATATATGCGCACATGTACGTGTGGTAAGTCTTCGCGGGCAATGAACACATCGGCAAGCCTGTGCTCCTACTAACTTGATTGAAGATAGAATATAACAAATCCTCAAATCTCAATTCGCATCGCTCCGTCATTCAGAACACTTCCAAGAACTACGGCGCTGATATAGACTTGTATAGCAGGATTACACTTAGAATTACCAGGGACCAGACTGATTTTAGAACTAAAGAAGTTCATAAGCACAGATTGTTAAGTATTGATAATGATTTACGCCAGCACTCAATGAATAGAGAGAGAGAAAAAAAAAAAGGAAAATAATCATGTACGGAGTATATCGTCTACGTTTGGTGAACATGGTTTGGTATTCAGGATTCTTGCTAATAATGGAAACATGTAACTAGCTTCAGGTGCTAGATAACTGCTTTTAATATATTGAAATTCTTGCAAATGGATTCAGAATCACAAGCTGTGAATGTAAATGCTGTCTATATCAGGTACAAAGGTAAAGTAAATAAGTAAATATTCGATTCATATATACACATAGGCTTGCATTATCCTCATCCTAAAATCCACCAAATCCGCCAGTCTCCTGTCCAACATATGCAAAGAGTAACAAAGAAAAAAAAAATGCCACAAAATACTCCGTTTGCAAGACCTGCAATAACGCCAGTTTGCCCCTCTCCCCAATGTTTTTCCCCTTCCATGATCCGAATGATGTATCCGAGTGTGCGTGTATATGCGAGCAATAGTAGAATAAATAGAGCAGTAAAGTGCTTTCCTAGAGGTGTCTGGCCGACAAGGCAAGCTTGTAATAGGTAAAGGCGATCTGAGATGCATGATGCAAGGCGAAAAAGACCAATAAGGACGACGGCTGACAAAAAGAAGAAGAATAAGTCGGCACGAATAAGGGTGCTATAAGGTTAAAAGATGGGTATCATTGATATATAAGGTCGCTTCTCAGCATCGAGCTTGCCCTCGAGGAGGGGGCTGTGAAATAGGCCTATTCAAGCGTCCCTCCGATGCCTATTGCTGCGCAGTATCCTCGTCGATGTCGTCGTCGTCGTCGTCGTCGTTCTCATCGTCTTCGTTCTCGGTCGACCCGTCTGATTCGAGCTCATACCCGGGGGCTCTTTGGACAAGACCTTGGTAGTAGGCCACCAGGATTTCCGGGTTCGGCACAATTCTCCAGTCGACTCTGTAGAGAAACTCGAGCTCGAGGAGCCTCAGTTCAGCGACACGCACACCGCCAACCCGTGCGTAGGTGGTATTGTTCCAAAAGGAGTCGGAAAGGCCCTTGGCGGCAACGGTGGCAGCGGTGATTAGAAATCGGTGGACGGTGAGGGTGTTTATGGTGAATTCTTGATATAAAGCGCAGAGCCGGTCAATATAATAGACCATGGCTAGGAGTAGAGGTGGTGTGAGAGTGGCATGTCGAGCAAGACGATGAAGATAGTCCCTGACCGAGATGCCAGGGGGGGTTCTGCAAATGAACACCGAATTAGACAGGTACAAGCTAATGGGGAAACACAAAACGTTAGGCATGCAAGCTTACCTAGAGTGAAACCGCGTCAGACCACCGCTTGATATGCGAATGGCGTCATTGGTGGCAATCAACTCTCCCAACATGTGCGCAATGAGCTCGACCATGTGCTCTACAGGACAGAACTCATATTTCTGAGGCAAGATAATGGGAGGTCGTTCCTCAGGCCTGGCCCGTTTTGACACTTGGGGAGAAGCGGTCGGCTGAAGAGCGGCGGAGCTCGAAGCCACTGCCGCAGGCGTCGAAGAAGCCTCCGGGGTTGTTGAAGTAGTGGTGAGCCGACGCTTGTTGGGTGAAAGGGCATTGTAGAGCTGAGCCTGGGCCGGCGTGGGCCGAGTCGAGTGCGAATCCTCGTTAATGCCCATGTTGGTCGTCGTTGTCACGATCATCTTAGTCGTCGTCGTCGTAGGCCGTGCCGAGGGAGACGGAGACGAAGACAAGGAGGCACGAGAGGGAGATCGAAGATCGCTGGTAGAAGCATCGGTATGACGAGAGTGGCCAGGCGACAAGGCCGAGGACGAGGCCGAGATGGAAACTGCCGCGGCGGACTGCGACGAGAGGCGGCGAAGATACGTCGGCTTGGGGCTTACAGCTGGCAGCTGAGAGGCATGAGACGAGCCGGAATCTTGCGAGGATCTCGAGGCATTGCGGAAGCTGGAGGGGGAGGCGCTGGAGGGGGAGAGAATGGGGGATGTCTTCAACATGGTCTCCGGCGCATCATCGGAGCGCAAGCGTCTGGTGTTCCTTGCTTGGTTCGGTGTGTTTTATACCCTGGTTTCCTTACTGACGTCTATATCTTGTGCTTGTCGAGAGGCGTAACGAGGCGACTTCGGAAGGGCCAATTGCTGCGGTCGAGAAAGAGGCGATGGGCAGGACAGGACAGGACAGAAAAGAAAGACGCCGGCCGGTTATCAAATGTCCATCAGCCGTCCCAAGTCGGAACAGCCGGCGGTAGGCGCTGCTGGCGACGCAGGTGAGACAGAATCTCAAAAGACGTGGAACAACCAGATCTTGTCCTTGATTTGGAGCGAACCCAAAATGCTCACCGAGGACCGGCAACAACGTTTGTGAAAGCCACAAGGTCTAAAATGGCCTGCAGACCAAGGATTGAATCGGCGGGACGGACGCGAGGAGACGGAGGGGGGCTAGCGGCGTTTTTTGGAGGCTTGCAGATGCGTCGAGGTATCGGTACTTGGTGGGGGAGCGCTTATACGAGTATGTGAATGTGAGCATAAGATATGGGACGAATGCAGTGCTGTCTGTCTGTTGCAGATTGACTGAGTCGGCTATGCTTCTGTCTGCTTTTTCGTCGTCCGTCTCTAGGATCAGTATGTTGCTGCGACAAGCTCAGTTCCCGGATTCTACCTGGGTAGGTAGCTGGATATGCTGCTAGCAATGGCGATTGAGGGAGAAAAAACAACGACGAGATGAACAGAGCTGCTAAAAGAGGTACGAGTACTTGGCTGCGAGGTATTACCTCTTCAATGCCCTGGTGCTGGCGTTGGTACTTGTACAGCAGTGAGACGGATCCCCATCATTCAAGAACCTGCACCATCCGCAGCGGCTTGGCGGGATTGCTGGTACCTGACAATCGCAGCAGGCGTCGGTCAAAGTCCAGGTACAAGCGCCACTACTCCCTGGCGGGCTTACAGAGACATGGCAGGGAAGTGGCTGATCTGTCAGGTCGAGATGGAACGAGGAGAAGACGAGGCACCAGGAGAGAAAAAAAGTTGCAAACTATGTCCCTCTTTTCTGCCCTTGCTATTTACAAGTCGCAAAGCTAAAAAGTAAGCCAAGATGGATCATGCAATACTATGAAGGTATTGACCTAATCGGTCATGTCCGCGCAAACTGAGCCTATCCTCGGCCAAGACCCTCACAGGTACAAGTACCTCCGGCTCCAAGTGGGGCACGCGAAAAAAATCAGAGGCGCTCAGAGGTACTTAGGTACATGTAGCTTTCCGGAAATGGTCTTTTTTGCCTTGCGCTGCTGTTTTATAGAGGGATCGACAATGCCCTGAAAACAGAGGGCCGCCGCGTCGTCGGTGTAAACTCGAGACTGCAAAAAAGCTGCTCCGTATAGACAGGAAACTAAATGTTGTCGAAAGACTCAAGTTTTGCCTCTCCTTGGCCTTGACCGTCTCTTTGTCTTGACTCTTGTCCCGTCCCGCTTATACAAGTCCGCTGGGTCGGAAGGCGCTCTGTTTCATCGCAAGTGGACTCCATCACGACCATGGCGACTTGTACATAAAGCTCCGTACGGAATACGGAGTACATCTGATCACAATACCCCAGACCGACCCCAGACCACGCCAACGAGCAAACATCTGATGAAATGGAACACAAAGGGATGAGTTGTCGTATGCCTGATGCAGGCGTGGTTCAATAAGCACCCGTTGTTGCGAGCTCGTGGCGACAGCAAGCCCGGTGATTCGCTAGTGGCCTTGGCCAGGGACCAAGACTTGCATACATTTTCAGACATGTCTAGCATCAGCCGGAGTTTTCATTTGTGATTTGGTGGTAGCACGGACGACTAGCAGGGAAGCTCTCTGCCCTATTGAAAACTACAGACTGTTGTGGCTAGTGGTATATGCAGCATACGGCGTTGAAAGTACACCTATACCTGTATGGAGAACGATGCAATATCGCGAGGTGCAAGAGTGCGCTATGATTGCGATCAGATGAGGAGTATGGAGTACTATGTACTATGTACTATGTACGGCACCGCCCCTTTGCCGTCGCTCTGCAAATCCTACGGCGCCACCACGGAGATGACAGCACATATTTTCCTTTTCAACTCCCAACCTGCCCACGATAAGGGCTGGCGGCAAAAGGCAAAAGCGGGATTATTTCGCACAAAAATCCGCATCTGGTGAGCGTCAAATGCGTCAAAGAGGGACAAAACTCGGACCTGGATGCCGGCTATCGGAGCGGATGATCCGGGGTCCTGCCGCCATGGTGCCTTGCCCAATCAGGCCCAGGATTTTCCACCTATTGCTCGAAGGAGGCTGAAGGACTGTAGAGGAGAAGCGCCTGCGAGGCTGGAGGCATGAGAAAGTAATTATAAGATCATTTGTTAGTAGTAGCGTTATCATGGGCGATGCTATCTAATGGCTGCTATGTAGGTATGAGAGAGCTCTTGGTAACGAAAGCGCTGAGAAGCAGCTTTGATAACTCGAGGTACCTTAGACTTGGATGGATACTTTGTAATGTACATAGTATCACTGGGTCATTGCCCTGTGGTAATTAAAATGACGTATTTCTTGGGTATCTTAGTACTGTTCTCCGTCCCTACCTGTATTTCGCAGTGGTGCCGAATGACAACGGCACAAGCAATTTGTTACTTGGCCTCCTCTGCCAACCAAGAACTTCTCAACGTCACCAAAATCATCCCGACGTTATTAACCAACAACTCACAGCGGGATTGCTCTGTAGATGATAATTTCCAGCGAGGAGGCAATGCCCCATCGAGCCAAAATCTTCTAGAAAATTTCTTTTGCCTTTTCCGCCTCGCCCTCCGCTTTCTTCATATCCACTAATTGGCCACGATCGATACCACTCTTGTCGTTTTGTGGAGACGGCATCAAGTAACTGTTACCAGGCGGGGTTGCGTTTTGTAAGAGGAAAAGGAATTGGTGGTGGTCACGAGTGGACGTTGGAGTCAAATGGCTAGCAAAGCATATTGACTGATGAACCCTCAAATCTGTCCTTATGCAAATGCTTGTAGAGTTTTGCTCTCTTTTATCTAGGTTTGAAAATTGGAGATGCACCTATAGTCACCAATTAAGAGTACCTAGCTATCTGTTTTCATCAGGGTGCCTATATACCTATGGTTGTAAGGTAACATACATCTACTACTACCTAGTAGGTACTACATGGCGCTTTCTTGCGACTGCTACACCACGGAATTTTCCTCTGGCGGGCCCTTTGATGATGAGACTTTTATACTTTTGACAGCCCCATAGAAAGAAAAAGACAAAGGATTGTTTTGAGAACGCGCTCTGATACATGGAATAAAGGTTGAACAAAAAAAATAGCTGTGGCTCGCAATGCCAAAAGTAAATGCAGATGTCAAACCCAAATGTCCGATAAGATAACGTGCACGTGCCACGGCATCGGACTTGCTTGGCGTGACATCCCGTCAGACTGCAAGACACCGGAGGCCCTGTCCATGTTTTACTTTGGCATATTCCATGAATTGATATCGCAAGCTTGTTTACGCATCTGTGCCTCTATTGCTATCTCCGTCTTCCCCTTTTATTCTCCAGTCCTTCCGGCTCTTCAATCGGGCGCGCCATTGCTACGCCTCTTGCTTAATCCATTTCCGCTGAAGCTACTCCTCCTTCGCCTCACGAGGCTGTTCAACTCTGTCAGCAGCAATTGTCGGAGCATTTGCGAATCCCCTCCCCCATATAATCGACCGTCTCGCCGTTGCTCTCCATAGCGAATCTTGATGCCGTGCCCCGGAAAAGATAGCTAGCAGGCAATCCCGATCCAATCCCAGAAACCAAAAAGCCGAGATTCCAGCACTCTTCCCTCGGCCTTCTCTGCCACATCCCACCAACACCAGGCCCGATTACGTATCCGGCACTCCCATCTCCATGGCGCGCCCCCAAACCTCCCCGATCTTGACTCAGCTGCGCAACGCCAAAACATGCCCCGAGCAGTCGGCAGCGCTACGAGCTCTCAAAAATGAGATAGTTGGGCACCACCAGAAGAAAGAGACATGGGTCAGCCAGGGCGTGCTGGAGCCCGTCATCAGGACCTTGACATCGGCCCGATCTACAGCCAAGGCGAATATTACATCCAAGGATGCTAGGCCGCAGTCAATGGGGCAGCGGCCCCTGTCAGACGAAGACAGCGTCAGGCTGCAAGCCTTGCAGATCATCACAAGCTTCGCCAAGGGTATGCGTTCTCTGCCGAATCCTCGTGGTCATTTCATTGTCGTTTCCTACGCCTGGTTGAGTGATACTGACCTTTGATACTACCAATGCAGGTGGCCCTCCTTTCCTACCATCCGTCCACGCCTCCCGAGCTCTCCCCGCGATCCTCGCATGTACATCTCCCAATGCCAACGCGCCGCAAATCGTTGTTGCCGCTCTCAAGGCCATTGCTGGCATTGCGGACGCAGCTGCTCTGGCATCTCCGTCGTCCCCGCTCGATGTCCTAGCTCTTGCTGACGCTATATTCACATCGCCACAGCACCTCGAGTCCCTATGTCTCATACTTGCTACGACTTCGTCGAGTCACTTGCAGCAGATCCAGGTGGAGCTTGCCGCCAGTTTGATATCTCGCATCTGCAGAGATGAACGGCACCAGCAGGCTCTACTACACTCTGGCGTTTTGGACATGCTCGCTTCACGTTTGGCCAGCTTCGCCGTCAGTCAAGGTCATGTTGTGCCAGGAGCCGAGGCGCAAGCTTATAGCGATGGCCTGTATGAGGCCTTCCCCAAAGAAGCTCCCCACGGAACTCAGATTGGCCCCATTCTTGGAGCCGTGGTGGCTATTCTCGGAGATTCAAAGTACAGGGCAATCCGGTTTATCAACTCCCCGGCGATTCTCGCCGTCTTTCCTTCCATCGCATTCGAGGCCAATGGCTTGGGCGACTCCAAAACACAGAACCGGACGGCCATGGACCAGTTGCTACCTCCTCCCTTCTCAGCAACTCGAAGTCCCCCGCACTCCCATCACCATTCTTCCGCCAACACACCAGACCATCCAGAATCACGAACTCCGAGCCAAACGCCTGGACCCAGATTTGTCTCCCCGGCCGCCCTGGAGTCGAGCTTGGACAGCTCATCAGAGGACGTTGAGAGTCCTTTCATTCCCTGGTTGATAGTACAAGCCAGGGCTCTTAGCGGCTACGGGAGGCTCATGGCGGCCACCATTGTCACATCCCTCTTCAAAGCAGGTCTAGGGCGTAAAGGATGGAGAGAAACCAGCCTCGGTACGCTAATAGTGCCACTTCTCATCGACTTGATTACCAAGAATGACAAGGACGATGCTGAGTCGCAAACCTCATTTGACGAAACCCAGCATCTCATCTTAGAAAAGGCACCGGCTACATTGGCCCGCCTTATCACTGACAGTGAACAACTCCAAAAAGCTGCCTACGACTGTGGTGCTGTCAAGGCGTTGACCAAGCTTCTAAGGCGCGCCTACAGGTCCGTATCCATTCTCGAGGCAGCCAAATACTGGTCTCCGCAACCTGATACCGATATGGAGGAAGAAGGACCCTCTATGTCACAGCTGGGCCAAGCTGGCCAAGATCCACTTCTCTCTCATCGTGTGCGGCTCAGGGAATCAACACTCAAAGCCATCGGCGCTGTTGCCTCTGGGAAGGAAGACTACAGAAAAGCTTTAGTTGACGAAGACTTCATCCCTTATGTGATGGAGTCGCTTAGCGAGTACCCCAAGAGGCCCAAGCAGATAAAGGATCGTCTCAAGGACAAGCCCAGCGGAGAACCTGAAGCACAACCCAGCGTCTCATCAGCATACGGCGCCAACCCATTATCCGTCATTGTCGCGGCCTGCCACGTTATCCGGATGCTTTCGCGATCCATTAGCATACTACGCACGACTCTGGTTGATCACTCCGTCGCCATGCCTGTCTTTAAGTTCTTAAAGCATCCAGATATCGATGTCCAGATTGCAGCCACGGCTGCTATTTGCAACCTAGTCTTAGAGGCCAGTCCAGTCCGTGAGGTTTGTCACATCCATTCCCTTTATTCACCCTCCTCTTTTCCTCTTTTGCCACCATCATATCTATCATAACAGCGCCGCACACAAGCAAGTGAGAAAACAAAAGGGGATTGCGAGGCTAACAGCAACTAGCTCCTAGCCGAAAACGGTGTCATGAAGATACTTTGCGAACACGCTCACTCTGACAATCCAGTCTTACGACTAAACGCCCTGTGGGCTCTTAAACACTTTGTAATTGCCGTCAGCCCTGACCTGAAGCGATCTTGCTTGGAACAGCTTGAACCAGAGTGGCTGGTGCAACTCATTTACGATGACGGCCAAGATGCTGCGCCATATAACACACAACCTATTCAGTCTCCAGACGATGATATTGATGAGGAGATGGATGCGACGCCGTCTGACGAACAGGTGCGGTGGATGTTTGCAGCCAACGGCAATCTGCAAAAGCTAGATGCTTCAAGATCCACCAAGCTGCGCCAGGCAGAGGACAAGCTCGCCAGCATACGTGAATCTGAGCTCAACTCATTCAAGAGATCCAGGAGCGATGAAGTAGCAGTTCAAGAACAAGGCCTAGAGCTCATCAGAAATCTGGTGGGACTAGGAGTGGGTGCCTCTGCGGAGTCGCCTTATGATACCACCGAGATGATCGACTACTTGTTCAGCACTATTGGACAAGAGCGTCTTTTTGACATATTGTCTTCAAAACTACGAGCCAAAGTGCTTCATCCCTTCTCTCGGCGAACCGCAACACCCGGACAGGAGACCAGGCTCATACATCCCCATGCCAAAATCATTATCCCCGTCATTTATATCCTAGTCCACATAGCCGCCAGCACCAATCAGCACCGGCAGCTAGTCGTTGGGCAAACCGACTTGCTCAAGCTTCTCTGTCAGCAAATCAGCAACAGGGATAAGGAAGTTCGCGTTGCCGTGTGTCACCTCATCATCAACCTCACAGGCCACGATGAGGAAGGTGAGGGAGAAGCTTGGTCTATGAGGGCAGCAGAGTTGAAAAAGCTAGGCTTCTATAACAGGATGGAGTTTTTGAAGCACAACGACAGGGATCTCGATGTGAGGGAGCGTGCTAGGACCGCGGTCTACCAGCTAGAGAGGGCGATCGCTTACTAGAGGAATCGATTCTCCGGTTCTGACCCGCCAGGGCTCAATGACATCATCATCACCATGCCCAACGACGTACTCGAGAACCAAGACGACGATTCAACTGAAGTCGAGATTAAGATCGGAGACAATAAACCAGACGTAATTGAAATTGATGTTCCGAGCAATACTGTGGTCGTTGTTAATTTCCAAGACGATGATGCAACTGAGCCTACGCCCGAACCCGTGGCCGGGCGACAGAGACGTTTGATTGGATGGCCGGACAATGGATTTGCAGGAACCGTGGAACGAGAGACCACTTTGCCTCTTGATACACCAGAGGACCTTGTTGTAATTGTGCGTCTCCCACGCGACCCTTGATTTTCTCGATTCTTTTCCGAATTCCTTGGCGGGAACATGGCAAGGTATGTTTTTCTTTCATTGGAAAGCGAAAAAGACAAAAGAAGAAAAAAAAAAGAAGAGGAAAAGGACGGAAGCGAGAAAAGGATTGAGAGATACGGGATATTCTGTAGTGAAGTCAATACTGTACAGACTCAAAAAAAAAAGGGTTGGTTATAGCAGCGTGCTTTTCTTTCGTGGGCTCCAGGGGGGGTTCTTGACGATTGCGTCTTTTGACTTTTTCTTATTAATATGAATGGGAGGAGCTGGTGGTCAAAAATCATTAAGTAGTTATCATAGCGCGAATTTGATTGATGTTGATTCTGGATGATGTGTCTTGGAGACATTTGTGATTCGCGAAGTGAACATGTTTGGGTGTGATTCGTGTGTTGACGGGAAATGACAAATGATGAGTGGGATTGATGATGTTCAAGGGTCTAGGAAACTTGCATGGTGTGATGATGTCCTTTTCAGTTGGATATAGGATGGCTCCGGCAATATGAAATACTAATCTCTCTCATTTTAGCTCGAATCAAGCCAGCAGCTCATCCAACTTCCTCGTTGTCGCGAAGTGTATTATTTGTCAAGATACCCTGCAGCACCCCGTAATCTCCCAAATTTTCTCACCACTCCCCCTTCCTCCAACAATCCTCCAATGCTACTATACGTTGTACATACAAAACGATGTCTTCAAATCAACAGACTTCCCCCCATGCTCCACGTTAGACGCCCCCCCCCCTTTTCACCCCGTTGGTTCGAAATCTAGCTTCTGCATGTCTCGTCACGTCTCCATCACCAACGCCTTATTCCTCCAGGCAACGACATTTGGGGGAGAAAAATACAAAAGAAATGAACGTACGAGTACTCCCGGGTAATCATAATATCCTTGATCCTGGGGCCGTTTGTCTTAGACGGTGGCTGTCGTTCCGGATGTAGGGAGGGGAGATGAGGTTTCGCACGGGATTTTGAAGGACTGTATGGAGTACACTCAGTCCTGCTCTGCTGAGGACATACACTCTCTACACAGATCTATCAATGGTCTTTTTTTTTTTTTCTACATCGACGTCTCATAACGATATAGAAATTGCCACCTTCGTTGGGACGGAGAATGGATCAATTCACCCAGTCATGATATCATCCCCGATCCCATCCCAAAGACAAACCCGCAATTCTCATATTTTGCCACGCCCTCTGGAGCGGTTACCCAGTATGACCTCCATAGGAGAGACAAGGTCTCACATGGACAAGCACTCTCATCCAAACAAAGTGGTCATCTAAACATGTCTACATTTACGAGGTAACAAAGCGGGCAGACAAACACGCTTGGATGTGTTCGCCCACTCGCCATCTACTAGGAGCTCGGCACCCTCTGCTGCCGAATTGTATATGTATAAAATAACAAGTCATCTGAATCTGATAACCCAATCACAGCATACCTACGATAATCATCGATCCAACACCAAACTCACGATGGGGAAGCGCACCGCCATTCGTTGTACAGGCATGCCAGACGAGTCACCCTGCCGATCAACCCAAACGAGAAAAAAAAAACGGCCCCAGAGACAAATTTCTTTGCTGGGAGAGACATGGTGCAACCCAACGCCTCCCCCAAAATTAGACGAGCAAAAAGATTTCAGTCTGTGACGGGCGGCTCATGTGCTCATAGGGCGAGGGGAGGAAGCGAAAGGCAAACATTCCACTTGCCGTTCACATGTAGGGCTGCTAACAAACGCAATGGTCAGACAACAAAAAAAAAAAGAAACGAGAGACAAAAGATGGGAGGGGAAACCATCGTCGGAGTTGTTTGTGTCCAATTCCCAGAGACAAAACGGCAGGGAGAGAATGGCCACTTGGCCGAGGCGGTGGGATGTTCCAGCTTGTTCTTAAACATGTCCACCCCCCCTCCCTCCCCCAATATCGCCTTTGCTTGTGCAAGCATGGAACAAACCTGGGAGAGTCGAGATTCCGATAGATAATACCTGCATAGCACAGCTTGTGCTACCCGGATTATGCAGCAAATAGGCATGATGCTGTGCCAGCCCGGCTGTTCTTACTTTGCCATGTTAGCGCTCTCAACGAAGCTCAGGAAAAAGGAGGTACAGCGTTATGCCATGTCTCAGCCAGGTAAGTCGGCCGACTGAGGCTTGCCCCCGGGATAGTTCTAGCTGCTTCCAACGTAGCAGAGCGAACCGCGGTTGATTTGCAAATCGTCGAGACATTTCCCATGTGTACCCGCCCGGTCGCTGAAGAACAAAAAGTTCCCGCGGCTACGGGCGTTTCTGACCATGTGCTCGTGAAGGGCTGTGGGAGAAGAGACGGAATTGGCTTGGCGGCGACACATCGCGCCTCAGTTTACAGTATGATTGCAGGCACGGCGTTCGTCTGGCTCTCGCTCGAGCTACTCGCACCAGGCCAGGTTTGCAGGCATCAGGGACCGAAGGATCATACAGTATTCAAGGCGTTTTGAACCATGACACACAGCCAAACAAGGCCTTGTCAATCCAGCCACCGCCGAAATGACAAGGGAAGGGGAACCGGAAACTTGCAAAACTCTGACCGACACTATTATGAGACATGCATAATAAGGTGGCGGCCTTGCCAACTGTCACTGCCGGCGAATGGGCGCTTCCCCTCTGCTGCCGGGTCGACGCTCTCCACGTGGATGGGCAGAATGGCCAAGGGCGGCTAGAAGCTCACCCTTTTGGCGTTTCTTTTTGAGTTGAGTGGCTCGATGCTCGAAGGGAACTGGGACCCGAGCTGAGGTTAGAGTTGCAGCTAGTTTAGTGTATAGCAGATCTAGCTTGATCGTTGTTACAGTATTAGTCGAAGCTCTTCTGCTAGTACGAGTACTGGCGGCAATGATGCAGTACGAGTACAGTAATATTTCCAAGGCTGAATAGAGTGGCTCTCCGCAGCACACACAGAGGTACTAGGTAGTCGCCCACAAGATCAAGATGGAGAGGAGGCAGATATCTGACAGAAATGCCATCGAAATGATCTGCACGTCATGAGCCTGCATTGGGGCCAAAGGCGGAGCGCAGACTTGCTTGACAAGGCTGGCTCTCCGTGGATACTGACTATGAGTACTCCGTACAGTATACAGGAACAGCACACACCCATGATCTCTGGGAAGAGCACAGTAGCTAGCAGATTCAACAAGATGCAAAACCCTGCGCCCCTTTAAAAGGCCCGTGCAAGTTGGTGCCAGCGAGCGTTGTCGCATAACGTACTCGTAGACGCTGCTGGACTCGGTGACACCGCTAGCGCTGATCGTGCAAATACTGTACGAATAGCAAAGGCATCGGATAATGCATACAGTGTTTGGCAGCGATTCGCAGTGCCAACGACCAACAACCACGGCCAGGAAGCTTTGGGCCAACCGCGTCCATTATTGGCTGGGGGCTCAGCGGTGCGGCAAAGCAGGCAAAGCATCGTGCCACTTCGTCGACAATCTGCCATCTAGTGGCCTCGCAGCACTGACGAAATTGGAAACAAACAAGGCCCCCAGGCTACGCGAACATTGCTGTTGGGCCGGTTAACGTACCAGCGAACTGGTCACCGGATCTTCTTTGCTTGTCCCATCAGCCGGGTGGCGAGCGGCTGCACGAGTCGTTTGGCGGGCTGTTGCTGGAATGCTCAGCTGAGAGAGAGTTCCGTGGACTTGGTATCGACACCGAAACCTTGCCCTCGGGTTTTGGCTGCCACTACCTCCGTATGAACAGGCCAATCGACGGTGCAAAGGGCGGCCGCAGCTTACTCAGACGCTCCGAGCCGTTTGAACGTGCTATCTGCAGAATACAGGAGGAGGATGTGGCTCTATTGGTTTGGGGTCTGCTGTATGTCAATCAATAGTCGACAGCACCATCGAGACGGGCGTGTTCGGTGATTTGAATACGAAGCAGTGCTACCGCCAACAAGACAGCACCAGTAATACTCCGTCGGTGATAACGAGCGCATCAAGCTGCGCGGGCCAAAAAAACAAAGTCGAGTACATGTATTCCTTTGGTGCTGTTGCAGCAGTCCGTCTACCTGCCCTGCTGCGTCTCGAAACAAATTGGACGCACTGGCAATCTTGGCCAGGCCGCTCTGCGAACCGCACGGCTATGCTCCAGCCAACAACTGACACAAGGCACAAAAAAACGTTCCTCGTAGTGCCGAGACACGAAACGCCCAAAACTTCGAGTCGCAGTTTGGCGGAGCCCAGACATGGAGACGCAAGGGATGAGTGACTCTGGTAGGGGTTCGCGGGCCACGGCCGCGTGCAGCCGGCTGATGCTGATAGGCTTGAGGGATGCTGCATGCCAGCGGCTCCATGGCTTTCCATGGGGGTGTGCGAGAATATTAGATAGGACTATAGATATTACTACTCCGTACAGCACAGTACAAGTATATCATGGTGGTGGGTGTATAGGTGGTTGTATTTCCTCTGCCCGTGCTGTTGCAGCACAGTACAGCACCGTTCCGTACAGTAGCAGCAAGGCAGCAGCATGCGCGATCTGGCGAACAAAAAAAGGGCCAAAGATGATCTCGGCCGACGCACTCAATCGGGTTGCTGACGCTCATCGCATGCCGGAGCCAGGGCCTTTTCGCATCTGTCAAAACGGGGCAAAATGCGAGAAACTCGGACCGGTGGCCATGGAAGAAAAATTTCTCTCTCTCCTTCTCTGCAGCCAGCAAAAAAAGTCTCCGAGGGGAGGAGAAGCGAGGCAAAGAGGGAAGCTGGTGGCGCGGGCGAAGCAACCTCGGCACTGGGATGCAGCCTTTTTCCGCAGAGTGAGCACAAGGTTGAGAAGAAAGGCAGGTTGACATTATTCCTAGGATTAGGTGCTCCGTAGATGTAGCAGTATGCAAGCACCCTGTAGGATTAATATAGATACATGTCCACTTAGATATATACATTGATGGCATAGGCACGGCAGCCGGTGCTGTAGCCTTGTGTGCTGCGAGGCTGGAGTCCGAAGAATAGATACATATCTACTAGGTACTAAGTTATAAAACACAAGTATTGGGGGACCAACAGATGTAATCAATCCATTTAGCAGCGCTCCAATATTCATACTTAGTATTGACCAGGTTTACTTGTACTAGCAGCAGAGGCAATCGTGTTTAGAAGTGCGCGAGTACTCCATACTGTACTCGTATACTGCACTTACGGACCCTCGCACTCAACAAATATCCACAACCATGCAGCAACAAGCATGCCTGTTCCCTGTTTTTTCCCTCTTCTTCCTCTGATGCGCAGTTCCAGCATCTGCACTCATGCATTCATTCAATGGATCAACACAGAACAGCATGTCTGAGAACCGGGAACGGGGCCGGCCGATGCTTGAACTGCCCCATTGGCTGCGAGGCCATGTAATGTAATGTATGTAATGCTGGCTGACTTGAACATGTACAGTATGTTGCTTTAGAACATCGAGAACCACGGTGGCCTTGCCTTGCCCTCCCTCTGCACGGCACTAGGAGCGGCGGCTCGCTTCCCGGAAGTCCATCAAATCTGAGTCGAAAGAAAAAACAGCTGCAATCCCACCTAATTTCGGGGCCACCTCGCCGCTTCCCGTCTATCCCCGGTGCTTGTATATTTGCTGGAGTCAGGTTGATCATGTCTTTTGCACCATGTGAGACTGGGGGTTGGTTCATGAGATACATGTACAGTACGGAGTACACAATCTGGGAGAACAAGGGGCCCAATCTTTTGCTGGCTACTGTAAGGATGAAGCGCCGGACATCGACCATCTCCTGCATCAATGACTATACTCGTACAGTAGCTTGGTTGTCAGGCTATGCACGATAAAATTGTGTTATACAGTAGTACTAGTCCAATGCACTTGCTCGAGCTATTTACGCTTATACAGGAAACAAAACACAGAGGGCCATGCCATGGAACCCATGTTTGCCCACATGCACGATACTTGTAACCCAGCCGAAAAGTTTCAAGGTCCTGTGAGCAAAGCCGGCCGCGCCATCGATCAAAGAGAAGATGGAGGTGGCCAGGGCTAGCGGGAATATTGGGCAACGAGCACAAAGAGGTGGTGTCTGGCATACGGCATCTCGCATTTTTTCATCACGAAAGCATCAACTGCTATGGGCGCGGCTATCTCTTGGGGCTGCGCAAGCAGGACCCAGACCCCCCTTCGATAAGGCCGCACGGCTCGCACAGAGTATGATACGTCTGATTTATATAAATATACATCACATCATATGCAAAAATACTCGTGTACTGTACATGATTGAGGCTTCACCCAAGCGTGCGATGACGGGGTTCGCCCGCTGTGGGAGGGTCGCATGGCAGAAACGTGATTATGCCGGTGGCGATGAAAATAGGTCTGGTGCTGCAAGAGTTGCCGCCGCGGTGGGCTTCCCTGGCAGAAGCTAATGCCCGGCATGGAGGGACAGGCACAAGAGGACCATGTGGACAAGTTAGACTCTGCAGGCCACCCAGTTCTTGAATATGTGCGAGTATATGGTGTATATGGGGTATATGGCCTGGACAAGACGACAAGAGTGCTGTACAGTGCCTACACCTACAACGTCAAATAGTACCGGACACGACATGATTTGATTGATTGATTGACTGAGACGGAAAGGCCAGAGTCGTGTCACCATATATCTGGGTACTCTGTACTCTGTACAACGCACACGAATTGTGCTGCATCACAAAGGGGTCGGTACCTGAGCCGCCCAGCGCTTTTCCATCACTCGGAGAGGTACCGAATTGCTCGGAGTTCGTGCTCCGTGCTAGTCAAAGAGCTGCGTCGAAAGCGTCGTGCAACAGCTGCAGGTGGAGGAGCCGTAAACGGCTTTGCATATGACATGTCAGGTTGCATGATCCGACACGGCAGTGCCTCGTACTACTAGGTAATGGGACCGAGTATGAGTACTGGACTGTCCTGTACCGTACAAGGTCCACAGGTCCCAATTCCCTGCCCTTTTGTCTCTTTTTGGTTGTGCGACATGCTCTCCATGGTACTTGTGCTGCATGTACCGCACACTCCATCCAAATTTGTGGCGGGGAGAAAGAGAGACAATAAGCGGGCGGGGGTGGAAGAAAAAGAAACATCGAAATGAAGGTCGAGAGCAAAAAGCAAAGATGAGGCACACACACACTGGGAATAGCGCAGCACGAACGAGCTAACGGCGGCTGCTGTGCGATCTTTCTTACATACTATGTAGTACAAGTGCCAGTCACGGAAAAGATGATCCCTGCAGCAAAAGATACGAATGGACAAATCAATGGCGGCGCTCGAGGATGACAAGCCCAAAAGCGAACAAGCTCGCCGTTTTGTCTGGCGGTGGAGAAAGGACGGGAAACCCATGTGTCAAAGGGAAGAAAAAAAGAGGACGGACGGGGGGCCAGGCTGACGATGGAGATTTGGACGGCTTTTCTGGCAGGGAAGCCAGGGAGGGCGAGCAGGGCAGACCCATGACGGGCCGGCGTCGGCCGAGTTGGTCGCGCTGCTTTTTTGGGATAGCAGCATCAGACGGAAGATCTGGGCGGGCTGCTAGAAGGACTTTGTACAGTAGTGTGTGGACGGGAACGTGTTGTATAAGTGAGCAAGTGTGTGTGTGTTGGAAGCTTGCTGTACGGCGACAGGATGCTTATTTGCGCGCGTGTGTGTGCTGTCTTTCCGCCATCGCAACGTATACGCATGTATGTCGACGAGAATGGGCAGAGAGAGCGTCACAGAGGAGAAGATTTCGTGAGCGTGCAGCGCCTAGACCTGAGACGCAGGTAACGAGATGCTGGGATTGGGTGCAGCAGCCGGGGGGGCTTGTTGTCACTCCACGAGGCGCTTGGACGGGACAAGAGGTATGGCATGGCAGGGCATTGCATGGCAGCCTATCCGATGATGCGGATGCGAGTTTGGCAGTCAAACGGTTTGTGCTTGTGTTGTGCAAGGCAAGGCAGGTAGGTTTTGCTTTGTGCAAGCATCACATCGCCAGGAAAGACAATAAACGAATAAACGAGTGCCAGATGACTTCCATGTTGGGTCGTCGTTGCATCGACACCACCACAACCCCAAGTCCAAGGCTCCAGGGCTCCCAATCCAACGCGGCTCCCAAGCAATACCGGCAACGCATGGCCACTATCCGCCTGCATGCCAGGCTTGCCGGACCGGCCACTCACAGCGCAGGGCCCTCCCTCCAGGACCGGCGTCCAGCCAGTCCCAGCCCGTACCGTCTGGCAGAAGCAGCCCCAGCAGGCCCCAGCGAAATAGCGCAGGGAACAGGAGCACGGGCGTTGGGCCGCTCTCTGGTATCACCGATTGATTTTGGCCCGCAGGCCGTGCAAATGGCAGCGCTGCGTGCGCCCCCCCAAGGACACCCCAGGACGCAAGACGCCCGTGCCTTGGCGACGCAGACCCCACTGCAATATGGAAACTGGAAAGCTTGCGCTTCTTTGGGACGTGTGGCGCACACCCCGGCTCCGTGGCCCAGGTTCTCGTCGCCAAGGGACGCGAGGTACAACGCTGGGGGAGATGATCAGCACAGCATACGGAGTATTACTGCACCGTATTACCTCTCAGACGGTACGAGTACTACTTGTATGTACAGCACCTCAGAGCCGAGACGGGAGACGGACGGGAGGAGGGGGGCAATATTAGAGTATTGACCTACTACTACGAGAACTTGTACTATTGCCTACTACCTAGTAGGTATACTGAGGAGGCAATATTCCAGCAGCAATAGATGACCCAATGCCAAGTGCCTACCCGACCTCACTTGCAGCAATAGCGCTTTTGCTGGGCCTTCGGACCCGAGGGCACAAGTAGTCGACGGCAGGGCAGCTCAGCTGCGCCGGCCGGCCATGGAGGATTTTAGCCAGAGCAGCCGGTCTGCGCCACTGTGACGATATCCCAAAAGCCATGAGGATAAAGTACCCGTCTGGTACTGTGCTGTGCAGTCATGAAGCTGTGCTGCTGCTGCTGTCTGCTGGCTTCCGCCGTCCGACAAGGTCCATCTGAGATGGGCATGGCTGGGCAAGCCAAGTACGTACCTGCCACCTTGGTTGGATTAGTACTGCACTGTTCTCGCACTCCCTGCATCAATTTGTGCTAGAGCGCACGCACTCCGGAACGGCGGGGGCTGTTAGAGGTTACATTTCCATCGCTAGCTCCCCCAACTACCAAGTTCCAACGATATTCAAGTGCTGCCCACGGTGCGCCACGCAGCAGATGCTGCCACTATTACTTGTACGGAGTAGATACTACTGGGTATGTACGCACTACGAGAATCGATGGATGAGCTTGTGCCACGCTATGTACAGTACAGTACCTGCGCTTCGCTGCCAGTGTGCGCCACCAGTGTGACAGCCGGAGCCTTTTTGTCCAGCACCCTCACGGCTTTTGTCTCCGGCCAAGGAGGCGCTCACAATCATCCTGGCTCATGCCATCAGCCAGTTCAGCCATTGCCTGACAACCTGACTCAGTGCCGGTGCGGAATGCTTGCGTGCCCCAAGCTGCGAGTTACATGGACCTGTAGGCGCCGCCCGCTTGGGCTGGGCCTTTGCCCGCAATCGCAGCCCGCCTTTTTTTTTTTTTTTTTTTTTTTTTTTTAGCCTTGACCCGGCCCTGGGGTTCTCGGTACCAACACAGAGGGACGCGCAAAAAGCTTGCAAAGCCGAAAAAGCCAAAAAATCGCACAAGCACGAGCACGAGCACGAGCACAAACACAAGCATCAGCGCTGGCTGTCAAAAGTCACCGTTAGGAGCAAACAGATGTGCCCGACCGGCCGGAACCCGCTGGGGAAGAGCCGGGCGTGGAGAAGCCAACCGCCACCTGGGTCCGTATCGCGTCCAATTACTGGCGTCGCCAGGGCTGCAGCCTCTCATCATTGCAGCCTGTTGGGAGCGTTTCTTGCTGGCCCATGTGCTCCCATGTGCTTGTGCTCGCTGGGACGGGCTTGCACTGCACTATACACTGTATCACATGTACAGGCACCCGCACGCAGAGGTACAGTACTTGGCCGGAGACATATCACAGCGGCGAGTTGCTGCAATACTATGTACTTCCAGTAGCCACAGTACAGGGGTCTTAGCTCGCTGGACTTGTCGGGTTCCATCCCGTCCATTCATTAATCGCGGGCAGAATTATACACTGTGCTATGTCTGTGGGTTAAGGCAGATCACAGGAGCGGTCCGCACCAGCAGTACTCGTGCTAGCATCGTCGGGTGCTTGCCATCAGGTACCTGCAGGTCTTGCACAACTGGGACAGATTGCTCACCATCAGCAAGGTAGACTCGTGGTACTGCACGTATTACGACGGAGTACCTCCTATCATCAACATGAACCTCTCCACTTTATACAATGTCAAGGCAAGTCGCCCTTGGGAAGCTGGGGGAAGATCCTCCTCGTTCGAAGCCAACCGCCATCTGGTCCTAGTCCAATCCGCACCCCCTCCCTGAACCCCCCTCCCATGCTCCTAAAAAAAAGGAAATGGAACCTAAGAAGAAAGAAAAAAAAGCGTCAACCCTTCGCGCTTCGGCCAAGGCTTACCTTATTTGACCTGGCGAATCCTGGACATGCCAGGCTCCCTCAGCTGCGACCCGCTCCCCTTAGTCCCAGATTCCCGGGGCCCTTCACACACCAAAAAAAGGTGGGTTTTGGTCCCAGGACGAAGCAGCGTCTCTCACTCTTCTTACTCTTACTACCTCCACGGTCGCACATCCACCCAGATCTTCCTTTTCCTTCCCGTTGGCTTCTCCTCCTCTTGCAACTCGTTTCTCGACACGACTTTTTCATATACCCCGAGAGACGACGACTAGACTAGAGTCCACGATATCTTCTCGTCGCCGCTGCTATACATGATCACACCACTCTCGACGCCCCCGCCCACAGCATTTACTATCGTCTCCTGGGTTGGCTTGAACAGTGGGCTCTTCCCGCCCTGACGCTTTGGCGGCCGGAGAGTGTCTTGAACTTTGGGCTTTTGCCAGCTAAGAGGTGAGTGAGATGTGATTTCGACTTCCTGGCCTTGATCTACCTTCTGTTTCATTGCTGCGAATCCTTCACACTTCCCTCACTCTACACTGCTGTCAGGTGGAATTGTAGCGCTGACCGAGCAAAGCAGCCTTTATACTTGTTGCCCTACTTGCAATCGTATTCAACCACAGTTATTCTACGCGGCATCATGGCGACGCCTACTTCCGTGGCCTCTTCCGCCTCGCGGGACATGGTCCAGCGCATCCACCGAGTGACGAGAGAGAACCGCCACCTATGGTACCAGTTGACGGTTCTGCAGCAGCCTGAGCGAGCTCGTGCATGTGGTTCGGGCATGAAAGGTGCGTTTCCAACATAGCAGATGTGGCAATGACACATCGCGGTCTGCCTCTCCTCTTGAGAATCCTCCCCGTGCTTACTCCCTCGCAGCTAACAGCGACCGACGACCTGTTGACCCGCCGCCTGTTGTTGAACTTCGTATCATTGAGGGTCCCTCCGTCGAGGAGGGCAAGGACATCACTTTCGACTACAACGCCAATTTCTTCCTCTATGCCAGCCTGGAGCAGGCTCGCCCCATTGCCCATGGCCGTGTCCAAAACGGGGCCACCAACAATCCCCCCATCCTGACTGGCGTCCCAGCATCTGGCATGGCTTACCTCGACCGACCTACTGAGGCTGGATACTTCATCTTCCCCGACCTCTCTGTCCGCCACGAAGGCTACTTCCGTCTTTCTTTCAGCCTGTATGAGACGACCAAGGAGTCCAAGGATTTCGACATGGAGCCCGCCGATTCTGACCTCCCCGCCGGAGTGGACTGGAGAATGGAGATCAAGACCCAGCCCTTCAACGTCTTCAGCGCCAAGAAGTTCCCCGGACTCATGGAGAGCACTTCTCTCAGTAAGACAGTTGCTGATCAGGGATGCCGAGTTCGCATCCGCCGCGACGTTCGTATGAGGAAGCGCGACGGCAAGGGCAGCGGCTACGACCGACGCGAGGAGGAGTATGCTCGTCGCCGGACCGTGACGCCAGCTCCCGCCGAGGATCCCATGCGAGCCAGGTCCACCAGCAACGCCAGTGAGCACCGTGCGCCATACATGCCACAGGATTCGCAACGGCGACCATCTGCTGCCGAGAGCTACCATGCTCCTTCATTACCTCATGCTCCTTCATTGCCCCATGCTCCTCCTCCCCCGGCCTACGACGCACCTCCGCCTGCTGCTCGGCCCGGACATCTCCAATTTGGCGGCGAGCAAAACATGCCGCAGTATGGCGGTCCCGCTCCTCCTCGGTCATATGCCCACCCTCAGGGCGCTCCGATACCTCCTGTAACGCCTACCGGGCCATATCCGACAGCATCTGCGCCATCTCCGTATCCCAAGCACGACTCACAACCGTACAGCTATGGCCCCCGACCTCCAGTGTCCAGCGCATCCCCAGCACCGCCAATGAAGCACGCCGGTTACGACAGCCGGCCTTCTGAGCCCTATGCCCCTCAGTCACCATCCGGATATACGCCGACCGAGAGACGACCATCGTTTGTTTCTTATCCTTCTCCCGCACCGATGACACCCTACATTGCGCCTCCTGCTCCTTCACCGGCGTCATACTCCTCTCCTCACCCATCGGCATCTTATTCTGCTCTTCCTCCTCCGCCTAGGCGACACATGCCAACCCAGTCATCTTTGGCGCCGCTCAAGATTGCTTCCCTGGTGTCTCCCCTGCCGCCCATTGAGGCCCAAACTGAGCCGCTTCCCCCTCCTCCATTGCTTCCAACAGGTGGCAAGAGAAAACACGACTACGTCTTTTCTCAAAACACTAAGCCGCTTCACAACGGCCAGCGCCAGCTTGATGCCCACTTTGGCCACGGATATCGCGGGCTCACCCCCGAGCCGGACCAAGGCCTCTACTCTCGAGCAGATGGTCAAATCGGTGTCGTTACTTTCAATCAATACCAAGTGTAAGCTATTGGGCGCGGTGCGATTTCGGCTCCGAATTTTTTTGGGCGACTCAAAACTATTGGAGTATATTATCTGCATTTTTGATGTGTGATAGATTTCTCATGGGCGTTTTGGGACTTACTACCATTATTAAATACCTCTTTTGTTCTTTGTTTGGAAGAGGGCAATGTGAATGGAGCTTGTGATTTTACGGAGTTGGAGGGCACGACACAGCTTGAGGCTAATTGGTTTTTCCTATTTTTTTTTTATCAAAGTGAGATGGCTCAACGGAACACATGAAACTGTGCGCGCGTGTGTTATTCTTCGTTATATTTTATCCTTTGTCTTTGAATCTTGATTCTTCATCCGACAGGCTGCCCTATATATAGATTGTTGACGAAGAAGAGGGGCCTGGGAGATGGATTCCCCCTGCGCTTTCTACTCTGGACTTGTTATATCCATGTCATGTGTCAAGCTGGGCGGCGTCATTCTTTCCTTGAAGCCATCGCTCTTGATAGCTATACTGATGTCTTTTTTGTGTTTTTTTTTTTTTTCTCTCATACATCTAAATGATACAAGCTATTGGTACAACTAGGGGTGTTTTTCTTTCTTTCTTTCTTTGATGGGAAATGTCAACGTCATTATTGCAGTTTATTTAGTTGCTTGAGAATTGATTCAATACATTTGTTATGGGCGAATATGAACGATGCTAGTTTTGTGTGGTGATTGTGTGATTGATGGAGATGTCTCGATGTGGTTGGGAAGATGGGATGGATTCGAGATTGAAACATCAGGGTGTGTTGGCGTTTCTAGATAGATGGCAATACATGGCTTGATGTTCTCAGATGTACGATGGGAATGAGCAATCGGACTATGGTGATTGAGTAAGCTACTAGGCTTTTGTGACTGCGAGATGGAGATGGCTGATGGATGAAAAGACTTGGGGAAGATGCTGAGGCAGGTTGCTGTGTTGAACCCGTGACATGCAATGAGGTTTGTTTACATGTAGTCCCGTGTTGAACCTGTGACCTACAATGGAAGTCTGTTTACCAGTAGTCCGCGATTCGCGCAAACTGTATTTACGTGTGGAGGGGGGGAATAGATAATTTACAAGGAAGTATAATATATTGATGGGTTTTGATTGATTGCCTTGTTTCTGCTTCAGGACAGCCGGCGCAGATAGATAGTTGTTCGTGCCGGAACCCTGCTCGAAGGGCGCGGCTATGTGCATGTGATGGATTGATTAATCCTCCGCTGCTTCAGGCATTGCAGGCATTTTTTGTGGCGCCAAGAGCCGGAGCGAGATTCCTAATGAGAGCGAGGACGAGACATATTGTGTGAGCTTTTTTTTTTTCTTCTTTCTTTTTCCTTTCCTTCCTTTTTTTTTTGTCTTGTCTAGGCGTGAAGTGTCTTATCCCTACCTAATATCTGTTTGTTGTCAGCGCCATGTTACGTGTCGAGAGATGAGACGCCGAGCTGGATTGTCACCTGGCTAGTTTCATCATCACATCCCAAGTAAAAGTGTGTTGTCACCGTCTTTGCTTTTCCACTCCTCCATCTCATATGGAATTGCCGGTCTCGACACCGTATTTGTGGAACGATTGTGACAGCCACTCGGCGGCACTGCAAGCGACGCTGCACCCGTACAGCCCGTCCCGCTACCAGTATATACGAGTACGGCACGGGGGGAACCTTTCGCGCATGCAAAAAGGGACTGCCACAATTCAACAATCCCTGCGCCGTTGGCCATTTTGCCGGGGTCATCGGGGGGCTTCTACAGGGTCCTACAGGGTCTGCAGGGCCGTAGAAGGGCCCGAGCAGGCCTAGCAGCGCCTCTAGCAGCGTCTTTAGAGCGCCTCTAGTAGCGCCTCTAGCAGGGGGCTCCCAGCCGTTGCCAGGGCGACCGTCACGTGTAGCCGGGGGAATGGCGTGGATGGACCACCTCAGTGGCACACATAAAACAAAACAGTCGGGCGCAGTTTTTGCTGCCCCCCAGGCGGAGCTGCTTCAATCTTACGTGCGTGTCTGCGAGGTGCAGCTAAACGGGCCCGTTCTAGCTCTGCTCTCTTTCTTGGTCTCGTTTCCAGACAAAAACAGCCAAATAAGATCAGAGGATATAGGTTTGCCGGCCACAGATTGGACGTAAGTGTCTCGATCCCTTTTCTTCCAATCAACAACAGCCAAAAAAGAGCCTCTCGACTAAAATCTCTCTTCTGCTTCTTCTTCGGCGGACCCAGCTTCGATCCCTCATTAAACTCTAAAAGATTGCGGAGAGCTATCCCAATTTCCCCGACGCCACCGAGGCCCGAGACAAGAGACAACAGAGGAAACCAACGCCTACATAACAGCAGCAGCATTCCGGCCGCAAGTGCTGGCCCGTGTTCTGCGTGTTTGTTTATTGGGCCATTGTTTGGACCTCGACAAGCGCTGGTGGTTGCGGCAGACGAGAGACATCGACAACAAAAAGAGCAAGGGGTCCTTGACCTGAGGGACGGATGCCCTCTGATAACGATATTGTCATTCGTCACGAACATCACGAGCATCCGGCTTCACTTGGCTGCAGGGCAGACGGTGGTCAATTAGGCCACTGACGAGCTGTACAGCCAAGGGGGGTTCTTCTACTCTTCTCTCCCCTATCAACTCTCATCTACGCACGTTCTGCACGCGTCTACAAGAACACCCTCCTCAGCTGCCTGCAATGGGCCCCCCCAAGACGAGGGGCCTTAGGGCGCGGCAAAGTCGCAGCCGCTTTCACGAGGGTTCTATGAATGACCGCGTATCTGCCGTACCACCAAGCCAGTTTCTCGGGCCCGAAGAGCTAGAGTCGCTGGAACGACCGCTAGAGGTAGAGCTAGAGCAGCATCAGTACAACCTGCGAAGCTCGCGCCGATCTCAAGACACCACCCGCCAGCTTCAGCTGTTCATGTCTCGGCAAGCCCCAAGCATCGCGCCCAGCTTCGCACCGAGTGTTGCGCCCAGCGTCGCTCCCAGCATCGCACCAAGCACCGCCACCTCACCGAAAAAGGGCGTGCTGGGTCAAGTATGGGAGGGTGTTCGGGGTCGATTTAAGCTCAAGAAGGACCCCCCGTCCTCGCCCGAGCAGAAGAAGCAGCCAGAATCCCCGAAGAAGTCACCCCCAGGTGTTTTCGACGACAGGCCCACTAGGGAAGAGGCCTTGGCGAGTTACCACTTGCTGGTTGAAGCAGGCTTCTTCACCACTCATGCCATTCAATCCACGCGACAGCCGCCTCCTCCTGGTTTTTTACGGCAACGGCCTGCTACCAGCCACCAGGCGCTCTCATCAGTGACAACGCCTCCGCCCAAGCTGACGCCTCTCGAGGCACCCCCTTCTTTGCCTCCACCGCCAAAGTGGCCGCTCAACTCTACGCCCATAACGCCGAAGAGCAATAGGACGTCATTATCTGCGGTGACTCCAGCTAGTGCCGATTCTAGAGGTACCAAGCGGACGGCAAACGAAGGCAACACTGATATCCAGATCCATCAGGACGAGCCTCCGAGATCGCCGAGATCAGCACGTACCAGGGGCAAGAAGATTCGTAAGACGGCTTCCAAGGATTTTGGCATTCCCATTCTCCGCACCGCCAGATCTCGGCGGAAGCTCAAGGGCACTCGGGCATCCGGTCGGAAGAGCCCAGCCAATGGTAGCCATACACCCGTGGTAATCCACCACTATCACAGCACGTCGAGCCGGGACTCTAGACACAGCAAGCGGTCTTCTCACCTGCTATGCGCAACTTCGCCCTCCTCATCTGCGGCATCATCTCCCCGCAACTCCTTCGACTCCGCGTCGTCGGCCAGAGAGAGTGGCGAAAGCGTCTATAGCGTGCGGGCTATCGGCTCGGGCTCCAAGAGCTCCCGGGGCCTTAGACCGAGAAAAGTCGCTCCCGCTGCTACATCTGCGCCTGCTCAGGATGCCCTCAAGGTGGTTCCTAATGCGAATCGAGGGATTCCCATTGTCCCATCTATTCCCGCCAAATATACCTTTGGAGAAGATCGAGAAAATGGACAGCCCTGGCGGGGGCTGAGACGGTGAAAGATTTCAAGATTTACTTTTCGCATCGTTTATCGGAGTTATTTTTTGCGATACCTGTCTGATCCGCCATTTTCTCATCAAAAGCAATTTGGATCGAGTATGATTCGATTTTTAACGAATTTTTTTTTTCTCTCTATTACGAGATATGATATGATTTTTATCAAAAAACTTTTTTACTCATATACCCCATCCGTTCGGAGGGCGACCACCAAAAACACCAAAAAAGACCAAAAAAATGGAAGATAACACAAAAAAACCCAACAACCGATGTAATGATCCAACGCCTTGCTTCCCAGTAGCAAGGCCAAAGCTTTTTATCTTTCGTTGTTAACAAACATGCGTTTTTGAACCGAGGACGTTGTGCTGTTACGTTATGTGTCATGACAAAAGGAACAATATATGAAACTCACGTATATACGACTTTGACGACATTTGTGCAAAATAAGCAGCAAGCAGCGGACTTACCCCGGGGGAGCATTTTCGGCAAATAGGGCCAGGGGGGAGGGAATGAAAAGGAGAAAAGAAGCTTTTTTTTCTTTATATATCCCAGCCCCTCTCCTTTTTTTTTTTTTGCTCGTTTCTTTTTTTGGTCATGGATTATGATGACTGAAACGGGCAAATTACTCTCTCTTTATACATATAACCTGTCTCCCCTTCTTTACTGAACGGGGGGAGGGGAAGAGGGAAATAGGGGGCGAATCCTGGCCTTGCTTGGTTTTGGGGATGGCTCTGTGGAAATAAGCTGCTTGCTTGTTTTTTGAGTTTTTGATTTCGTTTTTGCAAAAGGGAAAGGAAATCCTGCTGATTTTGATTTTTAAATTTACATTCGCTAACATATTACGATCTTTTTCTCTCTGGCCTTTCTTCTCGTCAATATGAACTGCGGGAAGAAGAGGTTGGAGAGGGATGGTCTTGAATGATATCATGAGTTTAGGGGACGTGGGGAGGACGAGATTGTGTATTAATAGGTATTTTTAACATATTTTACGAATGACAAGAGACATTACATCAAAACCTTTCAAGACCCCGTAAGACGTGATTGATAGCCATATTATATTTTATTAGTACTGGTATTCTCTACGGACTGCTTCAAGACAATATCCAAAACTGCCATTCCAAACACTCACACAGCCATTATTTCGCAAGACCTGTTAAATTTTGAAAAACAAAGGTCAAACGAAAACAAAAGCCATGCAGTGGACGCGTACCAAAAGCATCTAAAACGCTATTTCCCAATTTCCCGCTGTATGGGAAACAAAAAAGGCCCTCCAAAAACTCCCTTAACTCAGAGAAGAAAGAAAGTGAAAAGAAAAAAATTCACACAAAAATTATCCTTAATTTCCCAGCCTGAGGGGGAAACCCATACAAACCCATCCCGATTTGCACAGATCCCCATTCCATCCGATTCCCGCCCGTTTCCATGCGAAAAAAAAAAAAAAAAAAAAAAAAAAAAAGCTTTCTCTCTTTCCCGCTCTTCGCCAGTATAGCAACAATAACCTGCTTCCGAGATCCTCTTATCCGACAAGTCCAGACGACGCTGCCTTTGTCTTTGTGTCTCTTTTTGGGGGGCTTTCTTCTTTTCTCATGTTTTTTTGGTATTTGATTGATGGTTTTGTTGTGGTGTATCGTTCATGATCGATGGGAGAAATGAGATCAAAACAAGAAAACAAAAGACAAGAAACAAAGTTGTGCGTTATACTCTTCGTGATGAGCGAGAGAAAGGGAGCATGACAAGAAAGATGAAATAAGCACGCATGCCTCGTTGTAGTCATCATCAATAGCGATATAACTGAAACTGAAAATGAAATGAGATGAAAGAAATGAGATGAAATGTACAGAGTCTGGCGTGTTCCTTCATCGCAGTGTGTCATTAACAGCACAAAATGTTGCCGGTTCGATATCGATCGCTTAAGAATGTGAAGAAAACAAGGTGTGGATGATGGCTCTGATGGAAGCCCAAAGGAAAGGGAAGAGCGAGGGGAAGTAGCTGTAGAGCAGTGCGCAAATCATCACCAAGAGAAGAGGGATCTGAGAGAGAGAGAGAGAGAAATGGTTAGCTCCTGAGCACGAATTTAAATCTAAACCAGTATAAAAATTTCGACTTACCCAAACGAAGAAGAGGTTTCGATCATTGCTAATCTTCTTCAACTTCTGCTCCCGAGCTCGCAGGAAGTTCTCTTGCTGCTCCTTGGTGATGGCATGCTTGCGTCCAATCTCGAGGATTGCGGGAGGCTCGATGGTGATGCTGCTTGCCCTAGCCGAAGCTCTGGTTCTCATCACCAACTCGTCCTCGTCGTATTGGAACATGGCCCCAGAGGCTGATGACTCCGCCTCGTCCTCGTATTGGAACATGGCTGCCGATGACTCTGGCTCGTCATGTCGGATGGAGCGTTTTAAGTCAGCCTCTGCATCAGCGGCCGCTCGGGCTACCGAGAGAATGGCCTTGGAGTCCATATCCTTCGCGTCAGCATCCTTTGCCGGATAGATGTCATTATAGGCGGGAGGAGCTGCTGCGGTATTCATGTACGATGAGAGATCCCACCAGCGCCCGTCTGCCTTTGTGCCATCATCGCTTGCATTGTCTGGGCGGCCACCGGGCATGGCAGGCATGGCGGCCATCAGATCCTGTACCTTTCGCAAAATTGGTGGATTTGGAATGTAGGCGTTGTAGATGGGCAGATTCAGATTCATATTCATAGGGGGGATGAATCTGCGGCCAAAGAAAGACATGGCTGCGCGCATGAGTTGGTTCTCATTGTCGTCGATATATGTAAACACTGGAGGCTGCATGCCCATCGGTGCCGCAGCTCTCTGTGGCCCAAATGTTACAGGAACTGGGCCAGCGACTGAAGAAGGAGGGAGCAGGCACACGAGCGATGCCTCGCTCCAAAAGGTGGTTGTAGTGGCCTTGTTGTCACCAAACCAAATCTCCAGTCCTTGATAAAAGCCGGCGCCAAGCACAGTAACTTCCATGCCGCCATTGAGCGAGCCCTCGGCAGGAATGATTTTGTGAATTGTGGGCTGCGCTCTTGGCGGGTTAGCAGCAACACCCAGAGAATAGAGATCAGCATCAGAAGCTTGGGCAACCGGGTTATGCGGTACTATGTTGACGCCACTCCTCATACTGTTCGGGCTAGGGGGGCGAGTAGAGCTAGATGATACTGGTGTGGGATAGAGCCCGGCCATGACCGAGTTGTTAGTGACAAAGCTATCCATGGACAGGTTATCCATGCTCTGGGAGCGTCGCTGGGCAAACCACGGCGGTACGTCGTTAGTCGTGGGGTTGAGTACGGGGGACCCATTGGTAGTCGACATCTGGGGAGTAACCGCGCCGAGCACGGCTTCTGGCTGTGGGAAAGAATGAAGGTTTGGCGCGAAGGGCGAGGTAACCGTGGAGGTAACATGTGTGGAACCGCTTTGAGAAGTCATGTTTGGTGAAGCGTCCAAGGGTGTCATGGTCAAGGCCTGGGGGACTCTGGCTGGGCTTGGCGTGCTCGGTTTCCTCTTCTTGGCGGGCCCTTGCTGCTCAAGCTCAGGAGCATCATCCGTGGGCGAGGTGACCACTGTCTTGTGGTCATCTGTGATCATGATGGAGCCCGACATGGCCTGTGCAACGACGTTGCCTTCCCAGTCCTTGAAGGTGAAGATGACATTGAAGCCCGTCTTCTCTTTCTGGTGACGGCAGTAGCACGCGAGTCGCATAGGAACCACAACTTGCATGGCGGTGGGATACTGTCGGAACAACTCTGCTTGTGATGGTCCTTCTGAGTCCTTCTCCTTCTCATTGCTGGGGGGTCGCCAGTCTTTCATCTCCTTGGTGTTGAATATAATGATGCGGCGCGTTTCATCCATATACCAGGATTTCTCCTCATCAGACTTGGTATGGTTCTTCTTTCTTCCCGCTCGCTTGCGCTCTCTTTCGATGCATTTTTTGCAGATGCGGATCTGGCAGCCATTTTGTGTCTCGTGCTCGGCCTCTTGAAGAGAAGGAAGATACTCGTGAGGAACCGTGGCAGCTCTCTCCAGCGCTCTCTTTCTCAGCTCAGGCTGCTCCATAGGGGTCGTACAAACCAAGCTGACATAGAGCTCTAGCGTATCAGGGGACGGCTGTGGAAGGGGCTTCGCCCTAAGTTTAGGTTTGGAGATTGTGTGGGGAGGCAGATGTAATTTGGTGATGCCAAACGGCAGATGGGACAGTGTCATGGTTACCGCCATCTGCGTCTCTACGCGGGACTTGAGCGTAGATTCCTGAATGTGCAGCCCATACTCGCCGGTGTAGCTAAAGACGAGGTTGTCGGAATGTGGCATTTGCTGCATGTACTCTGGTTGTAGGGCTTGCTGCACTTGTTCCTGGATAGGCGGCTGCCCGGCCTGCGGAAAATCCGGCATGAAAAAAGGCCAATCTTGCTCTGCTTCGGACGAAGGTCTGGATGATACGACACTGTTTGGTGACAGCTCCGGACCCGCCGCTCTCTTTTGTCCTCTGGGGATGGCCATAACTGGCTGCTGGGCGAAGGTTAGTCAATATCTTTGCTTGAATAAAGTTTCTACATTTTCCTCCAGTATTTTCCGCCAAAGAATTTTTTAAAACAACAGAAACAGAAACATATCAACATACCGAACTCTCTTGCAGTTGGCCTGATTTTTCTGACCTCGGCGATTCCACATTCATGGGGCTGTTGGTCGGAGTGGCGAATGCCGCGGCAGCAGAGGCGTCTGGGGCAGCACCGAAAACGAACGGCCGGTCCGTCACGGCTTCGTTGCGGCCACCACCAAATTCAAATAGGTCCGATGCGCCCGTGTTTTCAGGGGCTCCAAGGAAGGTAGACGATTGTCCGGCGAGAGCAAATGGAGAAATCTCGGTCTTGCCAAGGGCGGCCATCAAATCAAGGTGACCATTCGCCTTGAGTTCAAAGTTGGATGTGTCGACGGCTTTGCCGGGCGCTCTGGGAGACGCGGAGCCGGAGTCGTACTCCTCGTCGAAAAGTGAGCCGTTGGGGGAGTCGAGGAAAGGGCCGGTCGCGACAAGCCCCTGCGCGTCCCAGAAGTTTTTCATGTGGTCGGTGTCGATGGCGCTGATGTGCTGTTGTAGATCGTCGGGGCTGAAGAAGGTGTTTGAGGCGGCAATCATATCATCGGGCAGGTCTCGAATTTCGTCGTCTCTGGGAATTGATTGTGCTCGTGCAATGAGCGGGTCGCCAGCGCCAGATCGAAATGGAGTCGAGGCCATGATTGGCAGGGGCGATCTGGTGTGCGCGTCGGCGTCACAGCGGCTGGTGATGGAAGCGGCTGTTGACCAGGAGCCTGCTTTTCGCCTGTCTCTTCTTTTGTTTTTTTGTCTTTTCTTCCCTTGTGTCAGCGGTGCGATTCGCAGATAAGCCGGTCAAGATAACGGTGTTGGGCTCGAAGTGTGGGGTGTGTCTTAGGAGTCGAAGGCGTATGTGCGAGATAGAGGAGAAAAAAAGGGTCCTTTTTGGGGGTGCGAGCCGATGGTAACAATCGTCGAGACCGGAGAAATGCGATTGTCCCAGATGCAAAAGCCCTATAGTTGCATCTTTTCCAAATGGCGCGGTGACAGCGACACGGAAAACAGGGCGGCTCTGGAGCGAGGAGCAGGGGTGGTGGATGGGAGATTGAGAGAGAGAATATGGGAGAAAGAGAGAGAGGGTTTTTTTCTGGCGACCGGGCGGAAGTTGACGAACGTCGGCGAAGCCAGCCGATAAACAGGCGGAGAGCAAGCACGCGCACACACTCAATCACTCACTCACCTCTAGTTAGTGCAGAGGGTCAGAAGACTCGAACGCCGCGCGGTCGGGGCGCTTGGGCGGTCGCGACGAGAGGGAAAGGCGCTGTATCGAGCGGTGTTCTGGTGCTGCTCGTGTCGTTTTCCGTGGTTTTGATTGTCCGATGCAAGAATAAGGACAAGATAAGCCAGACAGATGGTCGCAGAGTCCATGTGAGGAGACAGACAGATGCAGGCCGCCGATGAGAATCCGAGGGCTGCACACAGTAGCTGTAAACAATCCACTGGGGCTGCCGCTACAGGCACGGTGTGGGCAGAGGGCGGTGCAGACAGCGAGACGGCGGCTGGATCAGCATCGAGGCCAAGCAAGCTACGCTGCTGGGCACTGCGAGCGCGAGACCAGAATCAAAATCACGAGAGAAAGACGAAGTTGCTGTGTTTGAAGCAGCCAGCGATTTAACTCGATGCTTAACAGACAGAAGCTTATTCCTGACTGAGGCCACGCTTCATTACAGCAGGAGCCCTCGTCACGGTGGGCGTTTCGCTTCGAAACCTTAGGCAGATTAGTAGGGGCTGGAGGTACCTGCGGCGCCACTACAGGTGCTCGGCGCTACAGGTACTGGGCCGCCGTGGACGACTCGGCGCCCTGAGGGCTGCAGGAATATGCACACCCGCCTGTGTGCGCTGCGCACCGCCGGCATGGAGCGCTCTCACTGGCTGGGCCCAGCGCACCAGTGTACTCGATACTGTACTACTGGGCAGTACTCCGTCCGCAGACCGCTCCCATCCGCACTGTGCCCCATTGATGAGAGACAAACCCTTGCCCGTGCATATGCAGCCATTATAAAGTCGTTCAATAGCCTGTCGCTGACGCATACAGTGCCATGGATGCGCCGCGCAACTCGTCCGTCGCTTCAGCCAAGGGTACCGGGGTACATGTGCGGTACATGGAGCTGACTGTGGCTCGTATTCCATTGGTCGGCTGGCAAAGCCCTTTGTCGAACCCCAAAGACCGCTGCCAAACCCCATACTTGCTGACTCGGCAATCGTGACTCTTTTCTTTGAGCCTCCACCAGCTGTCATGGAAAACCACGTGTACATGACGGTTCTGCTAGCCCCTACCTAGATCTACTACTGTACAAGTAATAAGTGGCCATGAAATAGAGGTTTTGTTGGCAACTCCCTAGGCAATGACGACGATGCTCCAGCAACCCCCGGCGAAAAAGTACTGTAGCTGCGTAAATCCAACGGCCCCCCTTGTTGAGCACGCGCCACGCGGCCGATGCACTCTGTCATCATCGTCCAGCCACACCACCCGTCCAAAGTATACAGTATATTGAGTATCTCCATGGCTTGCAAGAGGCATTGATGAACAGCAGCCGACGACGCCACCGGAACTAAAACCAGGCACGACTCTGCCAATCTTGCATTTTAGTCCTGATTTTAACTTTGTCGCCTCTCGCTGGCCTTATCGCGTCCCCCTCAAGCGAACATCCCGCAGAGCTCATAAACTGCTCACCGGCAAAACTGCCCCATAAATGCCACTTTTCGGACGGAGCGCTCCTTCATCCCCCAGCGTGTCGATTCTAGATTGCAAATCGAACCGACGCGTGTTTTGCTGAGGCCGCCGTTTGTTGGGGATTTGGGAATTGACTTTGAACAATTGCAACGGCTGCTACCGAGGCCTTGCCTGCATGTAGTTAGACCGGGAGATCATATACACCTCGGAACGGCGTCACGGATGAAACAAGGCTTCCGCTCAACTAGAGGAACTTACTTATTCATTTTCTGCCTGAAGTACTTATTCATCCAATCAAGTAGACGAAAAGGATCTGTTGCTCTTGAATACAGAGAAGCACAGGTGTTCTGCCTGCATAGATCTAAGGAGAAGCACACGGAGACGAGCTCACCCGAGGATGAAGCAACTTCAAGTGTACAAAATGATATACATGTGTCGTATCAAGTCACCTAAACCATCACTCAAGAGATTAAGAGTCGGGAGAGGAAACCCAGAAATGAGAATGAGTCCAAAATTAAGATTACTCTAATTGACTTTTGGCAAAATACCCATGCCAAATTTTGACTTCTAGAGGGCCAGCTCACCCAGTCCCGTACAAGAACCAAACAATCCCAGGACTGCATACTCAAAGGGCTTAATGAACACCACTTCGTCAAGGAAGTGGATTGTCCGTCCCCTAGCGGTCACTTTCCACTCGGTGAAGCGGCTCACCGTTTGTTCCAACGGCTCCCAGATTGGTGGCGCCGGAGGGGGGCGTGGAGGCCGGCCTCGAAGGCTCCGAAGTGCCGGCACTATCCAGAGGGTGCCCGGCAAAAGTGCTGACAACGCCACTTTCCACTCGGTGAAGCGGCTCACTCTTTGGCCCAACGACTCCCGGAGAGTTGACGACGGAGGAGGGCCTGGAGGGGGGCCTGGAGGAGGGCCTTGAGGAGGGCCTTGAGGACCCCGAAGGCCCCGAAGGGTCGGGACATTTCCTCACATGCATAGCTTGCGCAGAAATAATTTTGATTTTAACGCCGCTTCTCAATTGGTGGATTGGTTCAATAGTGTGTTCAATATTTGGCCCAAGGACTCCCGGAGTGATGGTGCCGGAGGGGAGCAGGGAGACTGGTCTTGACGGCTCCGAAGTGTCGGCACGATTCAGAGGGCCCCCGGCAACAGTGCCCACGTTAAGATCCTCCGTATCCTTTCCGACAGAAAACCATCGGGACACAGTATTGACGGCCGAGCCATAGTAGAAGCTGCCGTCGGGGTTGGTGGTCTCGGTTAAAACACGAGAGATGTGTCGTGGAGCCAGATATCCTATCTTCCCTAGAGGAATACTCAAACCATGGATAACCTAACCAGGGGAGGCATTAGCAATGTCTAATTGGGAAGTGAAGGGACAAAAGAGAGGGAAAGGGACTTACAACGCTGCAAACGACCAAGAACCAAACCACGATTCTCACCATTGCGCCCAGTTCCTTGACGTCGCTTCTTGGGTTCCCTTCTTCATCACTCATGAATTTTTCAATAAACTCCAAGGTGATGAAGAGATAGAACACCGCCGAGACTCCAATTGGGCCGAAGAAGCCAACGAAAAGAGCCTGGTGCGTTTCCGTGATCTGGTGGATCCATTTGTGCAAGCCAAAGATCCACGGGAGACGCCTCACGAGCAGCACCGAAATGCCAAGAGGCACGAGTTTATAAATGGGGATGATGGTGTTGTACCGAAACTCGGTCCAGGGAATATACGCTCCGTACCACAGGAAGACGGTGACATTGAGAAGCATGTCGATTGTGGGCTGCAGAGAGTCATCCAGAGTTTCGAGACGAAACCAGTCATCCCATGTAAAGGCATTTCCGGCAATGAAGCACGCCAGAACGTCGTCTGTGCCAACTAGCCCGCAAGTTCCAAGCACAAACAAGGCCAAAGATATGGCGGACACGAGAAAGCTTTCGCGGTCGACATAGTTGAGCTTCACAGCCCAGCGGAGTAGCCACTTGGCCAGCAATCCCACTACCGCACCATAAACGATGCTCAAGATGATGGTGTAGGCCCATGTGTATGTGAACCAAAGCCCCATGGCCTCTCCGGCTCCGCCATAGGTGGCGCCGGAGCCTACAAACTTGATCAGATACAGGGCAAAGAAGAGAAAGGGATATCCCAATCCATCGTTGGCACCGGATTCAGCAACAATGAGGTTCTGCAGCTCCTTGGGGATGTTGTGATCAGCAAACTTCCCCTTGACAATGACGGCAGACAGCACAGGATCTGTGGGTGTGACGCAGGCGCCAACAGCCAGCGCATGCAAGAAGCTTGGCATCCCGGCGAAAGCCCAGACAAGAAGACTGGTGGCAAGCCACATAAAAGCCATGCCAGGGCCGAGCAGCAGCCCCAGGGACTTGCGCTCTCTCCAGAGATACTTGCTCGGCAGCTGCACGCCTGCAATGACTAGCTGTACACCAAGGACAAGCCGCGAGAAGTTGAGCGTGATGTCTGACAGGCGCTTGTCGTTGCATTCGGCGCCGGCGATGCCAGTCGTCGGACATTCCGTATATGCATCCGGCCGAATGAAATTCGCTCCATGAGGTCCAAAAGCAACCCCGATCAGGAGAGAAATAACTGTTTCACGCAATTAGCAGCCCGACACAGAACGGAGAACCTTGGCGTGGGGGGAGAGAGGCATCGAATCAATCGCGGCGGCATGCCAGACACTGAGACACTCTCCACCGACACGCAGAAAAACAGAGCGACAGTCGAAAGGAGTAAACATGGCAACTCACGAGCTTCAGACAAGTAGTAATTCTCCTTCAAGAGATACGACACCAACCCAAACAGCGATATAAACCCCCCCAGAAACGCAACCACAATGTTGAAGTTCGACAGCGCCAGCGGAACGGCCCAGATGTCAGCCATTGCGACGCCTCAGCCAAATGTTAGCAACGCGAGAAGTGAGCAACAACGGTAGCAGCGGCAGCAATCATTTGTTCGTTAGGCCCCCCCAAGCTCTTTCTTATCAGGACGTCCCAGGATTATCCCCTCAAGGATAAAGTCGGATCAAGTCCAAGCGCAGGTGAGACAGAGGAAGTTCAAATAGATAGAGAGGTAGAAGTAGGTCATGGAGTAAAAAGCCCGACGACGTCAGTCAATTCGCCAACTCTGCATGCAACACACACACAGTCTGGGATTTTAAGTAAACAATGGATGATCCAGAGTCTTGGTTGGAGAATCTTGACTTGACTCTTGGCAACAATGTCGGTAAGTGGCGTTTTGTCCAGTCATCAGCTGGAAAATTTCTCCACCAAGCGCCGTGGTTGCGCGGTCCAAAGGATTTTCGTTGACATCCCTGTAGAGCAGCCACCAAAATCCTTGCGGATGGTGGTATCAATGATCCGAAGGCACGAGTACGCAGTCATCCAGCTTGCGAAAAATTATCTTGCCCAGCAGAGTATCTAACTTTTGTCTTTTTTTCTGCTTTCTTGTCTTTCTCTTCTTTTCTCTTACATTTTCCATCGTACTGTACAAACACGGCCTAGGAGACTCGAAGCAGGCCGCGAACTTCGAGGTATCAATTCACAACCTTCAACAGTTAATATGTTAAAAAAAAATTATGCAATATGCCTGTACGTGTGTGTGTATTAAGCATAAGTTTTCATTTAAGATAAATAATCACTTGTTCATATCTACCTCTTTTCTCCTTTGGTAGAATGAGCGGTTCATTCTGGCCCCTCTCACCATCCCTAAAACCGATCCATGGTCGAACATATTTTATCATATCCCTTTTATCTCTTCCTATCATATCATTAGAAGCATCTCTTACTTTCTCCAACCTCTTGCTTTTAATAATTTCATTGCCATCAAGTTTACAGCAGGATGGGTATAGAGACGCTACCCCAGCAGCTATGGCTGTTGCTACAGAGCTGCCAGATATCTCCTCCCGAAATCCAGAGCCCTGGAGACTTTCGTATGTAATTCTTTCTCCTTGGAAGTGAAACCCAGTATCAGAGGTAGCATAGTGAGTCCTCCAGTCCTCCAGCCGTGCTGATCTCATGCCGCAATACCTATAAGCCCATCGTATTTAGCAGGCCACACCTCGGGCTTATTGTCACCCTCGTCGGCTGTGCTAGAAACCATAACAATTCCCTCCATTGCCGCTGTTTCTATGACTTTTTCTAGTTCCTTGGTTCCGTAGTTCAAAGCAAAGCTCATAGAGATGACATCAACCTCCTACTTTATAGCCCATTTGAGAGCCTAGCGATCGTTAAATATAGAATGCAGACACGTACATGAAGACTTACGCTAACAACAGCACCAATAGTTATATCCTTCTTATGATCTCCAACATTTGCAATGTACATCTGGCAGCAAGGGTCAATAGCTGATACAAGCTTTGCCATCTGCGTCCCATGGCTATCGGCCGGTAACCACCAATGGGTATCAACAGTCTCCGAGAATGCTGCCCCGATAACCTGTTCTACCTTCAACAGGAAATTTAGTTTCGTTGATGCCGATGTCAATAATAGCCGCTTTGATTGGTCGAGGTCTCTTTGACAAATTTGAAGATTTCATGCATCCTCGATAGGTGGTGTTTAGCCATATCGGCGATGATGAACCCAATTTTCCCGAAGAACCAAATGGGTAGAATCTACAATCTCAAATCTTTAACATCGCGGCACCACCAAAGGATGCTTTTTCTATGTCTGTGAGAGAAGATGCCGACTTTATCTTTCCAGACGACATTGCAGGCCAGATTGAATCAGCCAATGCTATGCGTAACTCAGTGTCCACAGCTGTGGCTGTGGGTGTTGTGGCTTTCATTATTTTGTGCAACCGCCTTGCTGAAGAGAAGCAAATGGATCACTTGAAGGATTTTTCAATAGCATCCGTAAAGGCAATTCTACATCATCTTCAAGATCAGCGAGGTTCAAAATTAGTTACGGCTGAACGTCTACTTATGATGCGACACTGGGACACAAACAGGGTAATTCGTGATATAGCATCTTTGTCATCAGCTATCGCACACGATAAATTCATGAGATACCATGTTCGTCAGAAGAAGATATTTTACTTCTTTTTTTCTCATGGAAAAGCTCACAAACAGATATGCTGCTGTAGCTGCCGAGAGTAGAGGCCTGATGGTGTAGCTGAAAATCGGAACTTATGTTATAAGCAGATGTTGTCCAGCACAGAGAGATACCGCAAGAAAAAAAAATATAATGTTCTGTAGCCACAAGTTACATATGAGGTATTTCATCGTGATATCTCATTCAAGTACCAGCTTCATGCCTTATCGTAACGGTGTCCCATCCGGTTGCCATCACAATCATTAATTCTCATGCCCAACTCCGTGGTGTGAATGCTTTTCCCTTTGCACCTTCGAATCCTGCCCGTAGTCTGTACTGTAACAGCACTACCAGAAACAAAAGAGGGAAGAAAAAAAATAAGACCCCAAAACCATTACTCTCCCCTCTATCCGTCATTGGGGGCCGTATGCTGCTAATCTCAAGGAAGGTTGGCACCTCTAACGGCCAACCGATCTGCAGCAATATTGCCTACATTTGTGGCATGGCCCTTTACCCATTGGAAGTAGGTGTTGCCACCTGCCCGCTTTCGCTCATCGATCTTGTCGAGGACGGCCCGGATGATGTCTTGATTCTTGACTTTTTCGCCGCTGGCTGTCAGCCAGTTCTTCTGCTTCCACCCAACGGCCCACTCCGTCACACATTTAATAGAATACTGGCTGTCGCTGTGAATGCGGACATGCTGCTCCAACGACGCAATCTCCAAGGCGCGCTGCATCGCCATGAGTTCTGCTCGTTGGTTGGTTTGTGGTTCGCCAATCAGTCTTTCTGACAGGTTGCGAGGGTCGTTTTCTCCAAAATAAACACCCAAACCAGCGCGGGAGCCGGCTCTGCCGTTGGCCAGACTGCTTCCATCTGTCCAAATGTTGAGAATGTCTTCCACGGGCCCCTTGATGGCTACCTCTTGAATGGGAGTGAACTTCTTGATGGTGACAGGCTTTTCTTCAACCTCCACCTTCTCCACTGGCTCCACCTTCTCTCCCAAAGCCTCTATCGCCTCCCTATCGCCATATTGTCGGATGTATGCGACGGCTTCTGCGCGGGTTCCAAAGCGCTTGTACTTGGGGCCCTTGATGCCGGTGATGGACTTTGAGGCTTCGGACCAGTCTGTAAAGATGCCCGTCGGGTTGCCAACTGCGACTGCGTAGAATTTCGCAGGCTCATCAGCCACGGCAACTTTTTTCCCAGCGGCAAACGCTTCGGCGTCGTCTCTAGAGACGAAGGATTTGACTATAGGCAGTAGAGTAATGGTTAGAACTGCTGAATCGTCCAAAGCCTAGTAAGCTCGCCGTGGGAATGGCCACTCACAAATGGCACCCTTGAAGCCGGCCGTCTGAGCTTGGCATTCCGAATATGTCAGGTACACGCCGGGGACAAAGCCCGCCTGTACGGCATAGTATTTCTGCATGTTGTCCGTTTTCCTCTTCTTAGAAAGGCTCGGCGCCGTGGCGCTAGTAGAGGCTGGTCGTTTGTTGTTGCTGCCCATGGTCTTGAGCGTTGTGTCAGTTATAAAGCCAAACTTGAGAACAGACGAGCCGGGGGGCAGGTCATAATATTCTCGCGCCAGGCTCGGCGCTGCGGTGCGAGCTCGGAAAGGGCTTGATCGCAGCCTGGTTGCGGCCAGCCGCACCAAACAGCAGTGTCGGGAGAGAATCGGGTCCGGGCCAAACTGGGAGCGAGCCGCGCTTATGCCGTTGGCGATGATGTTCGCGCAAGGCTGAGGGCGAAGGCGCATCAACTTCACATCAATGGCATGGCGATCAGCCAACGAGAAAGAGGCCGGCTGGGCTTTTGGAGCTGAGCGGGCGCTCGGACAGTCGGTGCTTTTAAGAGGCTTTGCGGGAGCCGGGCGAGAAGAGACGAGAGATGCCAGGCGAGGAAGCGAAAGCGAAAGGGGGGGGGGGGGTTCTGCCCTTGGAGAGCAAGGCAGAGCAGCCGCGTGATTCGCGCAAACTTTAGGAGGGGCAGCTGCCCGCTTTCCCGCCTGTGGAGACGCCGGGGTCTGTTGCATTTGCCGCGATGCGACCTCGCAGAGTGAGGCGCCGGATCCCTGTGGTGTCGGTGGTTGGGGCAGCTTTGGGGCATCTCTGCCGCTCAGCTGTCCAAGCGCTGCTTTTGCTTTGCTAGGTACTCGCACAGGTATATTAACGTTGGTGATGGACAGCGTCAGAGATGTGATATCTGAGGCTGCTTGTCGAAAAGACATGTATAGGTACCTCTGTGGTGTGCTTACCCTGTAATTAACGGGTTGTAGTCCGTAGAGAGAGGTGGTTGTGTCAGTAAAAGTCAATCTATATGTAAACCAGTCAAGGCGATCCCAACAAAACCGGAAATCAATCCATCGCAAGAAATACCATCTTTGATTTATTGCTCCCTTGCCGGGCTAAGCCACTAATAAACATCTTTGCCAATACCAATTCAATCATCCGTTCGCCGTGCCATGCCAGACCAAAAGCCACAAGTTTTCCACAAAGTAATCTGATACCTCGTAATCCGTACCGCGTACCTTCAGCGAACAGAGGATTATCTAACCCCTCTCCCATGTCATGCAGCTCTCCTCTCAATCGTCGCCAACAGCTTCGTAGCAATATGCATTTTCCATGATCAAGTACTCGTACAAACAGACACAATCCGACGCAGCAACAGCGCATTATATTTGTATCAAACCCGTCCCACACAGCTCGGGCGTTCCCCTGCCCGGAGGACTCCAACGTCCTGCCCTGCTCCAGCCAACGTGAGCAGTATCGAGTCTCATATCGTCCTCGGAGGTGGTAATCCTAAACGTGAGTGGTTGGATCAACGGGGGGGAGGTCAGGTACGCCATCGCGCTCCCACTCCCAGGCCAACAAGCTCCAGTTGAGCTCTCGTCTCCAGAAAAGACCCAACCCTCGTCCACCTCCATCAGGACGATCATCTGAGCTCAGGCCGCCTGATCGAGGCATATGGTTGCAGAATACCGCCTTTCCCATGCGTGAGTGGAGCACGCCCATGGAGCACGCCACGCATGGTTCGTGAGTAACGTAGAGCTCTAGTCCGTGGCATAGGTAGCCATCTCTATTTGGGTGCTCTTGGTTGAAGCACTCCCTTTCCAGTTCAATCAAGGGTGTGTCCTGGAAGGCATCAAAGTCCAAATCGGCGTACTCTGTCAATTGTTCGGTGGCCAATCGCTCATATCGGACGAGTTTCTGGGCCACCATGCTAATAGCGCGCAAGACGCAGTGCGACATTGGGTTGTTGCCGCCCATAATCAGGGCACCCCCTTGGTGGTGTCTGGCATCTCCAGCAAGTCCAACGAGTTCTGTACCGTTCTCTCCCCTCTGGACAATCACGGCCCCCATGGCCTCTCCGATGCCTGCTTCCTTGGCTTGGAGAGCGACGCGATGGGCCAGCGCCATCCAAATTGCCGTGTCATGCTTAATGTCCTCGGTGCCACGAGCCACCATGCCCGGATGTGGCCCTAGAGGGTTGTTCTTGCGATAGACGGTTGGCCAGAACTGTGAAGACCACATGGCGGCCTGGACCTGGGATGTCGGCGCCAACAACGGAACTGGGATAAGACTAATGAAGGGTTCCTTCTCGATTCCATCCACGCCAGATAGCAGCTCAATGAGTTCTTCTTGGTCAAAGTCCTTTGCCTCTCCCACGATGATGTATATCCAAGTTGACTTTGCAGTGTGAATCTGTCGTCCAACGGGCGTGTCATTCATCAACTGCGTTTTGAGATGAGCAGGGAGATCCGATGGCTTTGCGCATCGACGGAGGTGTGGTAAGGTATTAGCGTTACCATCAGGGCACATGTCGCGCAAGAGGCTGGAAGTTGGTAAGTATAAAGCAAATTGTGGACATGGAGTCGAAACTTACGTGATAACATCGTTGGCAGACTTGGTTGGGACTCTTGTAATGTAGGCCTGCACTATACTGTGGTCTTGGCGAACCTCCTGAGTCGTCTTCAGAGGAATAAGCACGCCTCGAGGCAAGTCTTGAGCTCGGAGATCATCAATCAAGGGATTCGGTGCGACGCCTCTGAATTGATGGGGCTCTTTGATATCAAGGTCAAGCCCTGCCTCGCCATTTCCTTCATAATAGTCCATTTCGATAGCCATGATGGTCTATAGTGTTTGAGGTCGTCCTCGTCAAGGAAACAGAAATGACTGTATTCTTGGATAACCTCGACGCAAAGAGTTGGATTCAGCTGACGAGGACCTCTCTGCAAGGAAGAGAGTTTTCGAATCACCAGTGGACACAAAATATCTATCTTCGCATTCCGGGTGCCTTGGCAGTGGTGAGAAGATACAAAAACAGGAAAGCCTTTGGTGGCTGGCGATGGGATAAAGGAGGATAATAGTGGCCTGAATGCGTTACTGGGGGGATGGTTTGGATCAGCCCACTTGAAGAACGCAACTGGCTGCCAAATCTGCGATTGGTTGCGATTTCTGACAGGCTCGGAGAGTTGGAGAATTGGAGCAGAAACGAGGGGAAGGTGCCAACAGTTTATAAGAAGATGAAATGGCTGTGCGCTGGTTTGGTAAAGTTGAGTCTGGTTCGCCTAGGCGGCGGCGACAGTTGTTTGGTTGGCCAGGAGAAGGCGATGTGCTAAATGTGACTTGAAACGGCACAGACGCTCCAACAGCCGGGGTAAGGTTGCCCTGAAAGTACCTTTTAACCCAGACTATAAAGAGCTACTGTCCAGAGACACTAAAAATAGGCGTTGCGCTGAGTGAGTTCTCTTGCCGCTTGAAGCTCCTTGTTGACGAGGGAAGCTCGCTTGGGATATTGTCAGAAATATAGAGGCCGAACAATTTTTCAATTTTGGGGGGTTGACGATGGCAAGATTTGGAGGGTGGTTGGATGACGGTAGAGCAGTTTAATAAGGCGGGAGAAAAATAAGGGCTTACCAGAGTAGCCTTTGAATATTGCGCGTTTGAGATGGCCAAAGTTGAGCTGGATTGGAGATGTTCAAATCTTTGAACCTTTCAGGTGAGAAGCCGATAAGGATTGCAGGAAGTTGAAGAAAAGTGGAGATTTGATGGAAAAGCGCAGGCGCTGGTTGGCCATGAGATCGGCAGGCACAGCGCCCCACCGAAAATCTTCACTTGCATCTCAGGTGCAGAGTCACAAGTTTCACATGGATGTACAGCATCGTTTGTTCTTTCTTGGTGCTAAGAATAACAACGGGTATGGAATTTTTAGATGATTGTGGCTAAACAAAAAGAATTAAACATGACCTGGAAAATATAAACGAACAGATATATTGGAATGAGCACCGTCTCCACCTCTCATCATCATCCAGTGGCTTGGGGATGCTAGAAAATTCTGGCAGTGTTTGAGGCGTTGTGGCTGCGGGTAGTTGCTGCCAAACACCCTCCACTGATTTTTCTCAAACTGCTATAGGTAGTAACAATTTCAAGGCCGTGGAAACCCCTCTACTTGTCTACTAATCCAAAACACCATCACCAAGCCATTATTCGATGCGATCGAACATCTCTATCCATCCAATGTTGCTACCATCTCTACTCAGAATTCGTCTACCATTCTCCATCGCGCCCCAGTTGCAAATTAAGCATTGCTAGCACAAGGCACTCCGCACCAATTAGGGAACGGGGCTGCAACTCCAACGCCGTTCCCCATGAATTCCAGCATCTGTTCCTCCAGACTGGCCGCAACGTTTAATATCGGGCGACGCCACCAACGCTGCATGCTGCGCTTTCGGAACTGGTCTACCCTGTCAGCCTTGCACCGATCGCCTCTTTCAACTGTGATTTCAACGCAGGAACGGCAAATGGTTCGCGGAATTCGGGGCTAGCTGAAGTCGCGCCCCCCACGCCTCAAAGTTGGCCTAGGAGTTACTACGAGTACGTGGAGGATGGGCCCCCATTTTGCATCTTGCAAATATGCACTTGTCAGAAGAATCTCTTATCCGCCTGCCTCCGTCGGGGTAACACGCATGCTCCAGATCGCTGTCGTTTCTCATTCTTTGAGAGTATTACGCGGGGTATGATGGGGGGAAGCGAGCGTCTTGGTAGTGCTAATACTACCTTACCAGTACGTACAAGCAGTATTACGAGTATTACTCCGTCCTCGTACAGATACTACTGGGTAAGAAAACAAGCGAACTTTGTGTTATTGAGGAATTCGCTGCGAGAGACCGAGAGAGATAGGTGAGCAGGAAAAAGAGACCAAGCTGATGCAACGTTTAGTTTTGTGGTCCCCCGAGCCCACCGAGATCTTTTGGCTTGACGATCAGGGTCTGGCGCTCATTTTACGTTGCGCATCTGGCGCTTGGTGCGGATTTTGCGAGCCAGTTCCAAGTGCCCGAGCCCACCCAGCCGCAAATGCTCCGGAGACGCTCTATTCTTGTGCACTCGGAGTCCGACACCATCACTTGCACTAATATTACAGCTCATTATTCCATTTTGTCAGCCATGCTAGCTTTGTCGACTCTGGCCCTTTGGGGAAGTTTGCGAACCTTCACACCAACAGGGATCATCCATCGCTCAGCATGCAAGCCGGACCGGAAACACCGAGCACCGTTACGGCAGCTTGGCATCCAATATCCAACCGATGGGCGCGACACATACGAGTAACGCATGAGGCGTATGAGAGGATACAAGCACGGGCACGTTTTAAGGGCAGAGAGGGCCGCTTCCACTGTCGTGCCTAGCCGACGTAGATTAGGTGGTGAGATTGCTCGACAGAGCTGAGCCACGGTAGCGTGTTCTGTCACCGACACCGAGATAAGCTTCGGCGTGAGGCTCGTCTTTGACATACGACAGACCATGAGACTTTTGGCTGGCTCATTGAAATTGAGCCAAACCCTGGAGGCCCGGGAGACGCTCCGCGTGAGCCGCCAGCATCTACGAACGTGGGCATAATCGCCGGATCCTGCTGGATTCTTCAACGCAACATATACAGGCACGAGCCCGAGCCCGAGCACAAGCCATCACCACATCCGGCCCTCTCGTTTTCGCGCGCGCTCGTCAGCAGGGCACATGATGATGCGCGCTGTTGAACAGCATGGCGTAGCGATCGATCTGAGCAAGCACAGCGCAGCATGGGAGCTGGAATGGGGTACCATTTCTCGCCTGACACGACAGCACAGCAACGATGCTGTCATATCTGCTTGCCATCAAGATGCCCACGTTGTCTCATGACTGGCAAAGGCAGATCCCTCTAGCACCGCACTGCCATTGGGCGTGGACCAAAAAGGGGCGGCCACCAGGCGGCCTTGGTTGTCTGTCTGCCTCAGCATCTGCCAAGAAATGGTAAGATATGCGATATGCCTTTTTTTCTTAGGCCGTCGTACTTGGAGCAGCGATCATGTCTTGGAATATTACCATGGCGTGAAACTATGCGACAAACAGCTGGTGCTGGATGGGGTAAAAGGAGGCGCGTAAATTAAGCATACGCAGCCATGTCTCTTACCTGTCTCTGAGCCCCCTTCATCTGCGCACGCTGCTCTGTACGAGTACTCTGTGCCACTGTGTCTCACCTTAATCTCAACGACTTGGCTTGTTGAGGCCATTCCATGTCTCAGCCGCGGCCTTGGCCTGTACGAGTACGGTTCAGGCTCAGCGTAGCCACGTACTCGTACAAGTATGTGCTTGATATTACGTTGGATCCATGCATCGATGTGAGATGCGGGAGTGCGCTACTGATTCAATAGATGGGTGAAGCCCCTGTAAACACCATCCGCCTCACTACGAAAGCACTAAGACGTCAAGGCATGTTGGTAATGGCACCAAGTTAGTGCATAGACGGCGTTCCGGTACTTTTATGGAGCAGGGTTCCGTCCATGTACTTTGCACACAGTCGAGCCGTCTCGCTTCCCCCCTGGTCTTTCATGACGTCGGCCAGCTAGTAGCTCTGCCGTGCCTCTACCAAAAGCAGGCTCAACACTTCCTTTTTTTCGCGGTACCAGTACATATTGTTGGGCCACGCTTGCAGAGCGAGACGGGAGCAAAAGAAGGCAAAGAGGGGTGCCAGAGAGTGTCCAACATGGTCAAGGGAACATGAAGCCAAGCAAGGCTGGCGCGGCTCATCTTGGCACAACTGTTATGGAGAGCACTCGACATGAATCACATCGAGTGTTGTCGTAACGAGCCGTCATTAGTGTTTATCAGATTTCCGTTTTTTGCAGCATGCAAATTCCACGCATGCCCAAAGATTATTACGCGAAGAGGAAGGGTAATGGCCAGCCTGCCAATCACAGCGCCCGAGTCGCATTAGAGCGCCCTTTGCGAGCTGGGCCATGATCCGTGATGTCCGATGCTACTACGCGACGAGAGACGGTCCGCTATCGGCGACACGGGAGATGAGGGGCTTTGGCGTCGAGAAAACCCATTGACAGCCGTGAGACATGGGGGCCGCAGTTCTAAATGGTTCTACCAAGTACGAAGTGCAGAGCATTGGCTGATGCCTGGGTTTGCCTTACAGGGAGGACAAAAGAGCACGACAAGATTACGGCCAACGGTCTGCCCTTGTGCCTTTGGGACGAGGGGTCATGGATTTGCGAGCGAGAGATGAGCTTGGGAGGATCGAGACAACCACAGGGCCCGTGGGGGGAGTCGACGGTGATTGGTCCAAAGTATTGCAAACCAGTTAGAAGACGGCTGAACAACCAAATTAGCACGTGTCAAGTACAGAGCTTACCGTGAGTTGAGAGTTGGGGATGAGATATGCACACCCTCCCAGAGTCACTCTTGGACACCCTCTTGGTCCTCCAATGGAACGGCCAAATTCCTTGCTCCTGCTGGAGCAAGCTTTTTGGGGAAACCTTTGCTGCTGCAGAAAGATGAATGGGTGAGGGTGGCGAAGCCAAGAGAAGAGGGAAAGGGGATTATCGCTGTCCATCCATCGCCATCATCTGCCGCAGCTTGCATCATTCCCATGCCTTGGTCTCGTCACGCAGCCCACGTCGGTGAGTGCAAATTACGTAGTTGCGCCAGTCCACTGACGAGGCTGGACAGCATCACGGCTGCACCATCTCGCATATTTGTCGCGGTTAGCGACAGAAACAAAAGCATTTTGGGCATATGATGGTGGTGATGACTGGCGACACTGGACAGCTGAGCAGCACCGGCACTGGAGCTTC